GGATCGTTAGTATTGTGGACTTTCGACCCCATTGCTAGCAATGTACAATGTCAGATTGACCTCCACGCGGTTCCCCCTGGAAACCACCGTGATAAATTCGAGATGAATTTCTCACGATGAGCTAACTGACCTGACCTCATCTTCATCTTATCATCCTCTGCTGGTGCCCCGCCAGCGTATACCGTTAGCGCGCCATTTCATTATCATACACAAAAAAAATACGTGTATTATATTATATATACGTTATACGTGTTCGTATAAATTTAATGGCAAGTGCCAACATTTTTAAAAATGACGAGAATGTAATAGTTACTGCATCCATAATATAGTCTATTGTACCAGAATAGCTATTGTCACAGGTAAAGGAGTATGAAGTCCGGACTGTCGAATTCGTTAGACATCAACTTTGATAGTTACCAGGAAGTCCGCGTGCAGGTCGACATGGAAGTGGATTTTTTTTTTCTTTATTGTACAATGTTACGTGCACAAAAGGCGTGCTAGATGCCTTATTCCATTTTCTACCAGCTAACCGATATTACTAGAAATGAGACCCTACTTCCCACTACTACTACTCCCCTTTCTCCTATGTCGACTACATATTTGCTCTTTTACTATAACCACGTGAGTGAGCCACATTTTTATTAAAATGGTCTTTATCCATAAAAGTATTTTATAGGATCAACTGTGAAATGCAACATAGTTTCTCCATAAAACATGACTCGTGGCTAGTACAGGCTAGTAATATTATAACAAAGTATCAAATGACCATTACGTACATACAAACATCGTCGGGCACATATCTACTTATAGATATGTATGTGGTTAGTAGCGACTGCAACATTGTTTAATTTCCTGTTTACTTTTTATATGCTTAAGAGAGTTTGTTAAATCAATATTCTTAATGTTAATCTTTTATTAAGGACATTACGCTAAATAATAACCCGGACAATTAACACAGCAACATCCAGTCCCACGGTAAGCAATGAGTACTAAACAACTGCTATAAATGCTTAGATATATATATTTTTGTAAATACATACAGAATATACTTAGAAAACACCTAGACCAATATCACACAAATCATACTAATTAATACAAAAGTTTGTACCGTGCGAGGAATCGAACTCGCAACCATCGAAATAAAAAGCGGGGTTCTAAAGCGATTGATTATATAAATATATTGTTATAATAAAATGTAATGTATGGAAATACAAAAAACAATAAGCTTTATTTTATTTGCAGCTTTTGTTAATACACGTTACATACCTATAACAAACTAGGTATAACCTGACTAGAAAAATATTGCACACTATTTTGTTGAGCTAGATCTGGACTTGGATCTCGGAATGCAAACTAAAAATCGATAAGGTCGCCCTACAAGGGCATTACGTTTACCTTTTTACGGTGTTTGCATGTGTACAATAAAGAATTAAATTTTCATAATGATTTGATTTTTTTTAATAGATTTCCAACTCAGATGTTTCTAAAAATAATAAATATAGACAGAATTCAAACTCTGTCCTCATTAGATTCTCCATACATTTCTGACTCTGCTTAAATAATTATTAAGTTGTATTGTAAAATAATTTAGAATCGACACTATTATTAACAATTCCGAGTACAATTTATATTACTTACATTACAACAGTAAATAAATAATTTATACCTAAGTAGGTATATGTATATTTCCACCAGTAATTTATGAAATACGTACTTACTACCAAATTCGACCTCATTTCCCTGAAAATGTTAAGCAATTGTTTACCGTCATCAATATCGCGAATATTGCATAATCGACATTTCTTTAATGTCATTGGACTTAATGCATCTTATGATTCATTTGTTATATTTGTCAAAATTATAAATTCACATTATTTTGTTGAACTATTTTTCCTTCTTATTAGTCTAAGTAATATATAATGTCTAGTTTTATTGCTCTGAACATAATTATAATATACTAACCATGCCCGATATTATTAGCCTATGTGTTATTCTGATGTATAAGCTATATTACTGTTTCTAAAGTTTTATCAAAATCCGTTTAGTAGTTTTTGCGTGAAAGAGTAACAAACATCTATCCATACTATCAAACTTTTGCATCTATGTCTTCTTAATATTATAAAATATTAAGAAGATATAATATATATATAACCTCTACCCCAAAAAAAAGACAGGTAGAATTTATAAAAAGTCGTCTACGTGTGTATTTCAATCACATCTCTTTCAGCCGCCAAGCAGTTTGCTTTGTAAGCTGTGTATCGATTGAAAGGTGAGATAAGGTAGTGAAATTATAGTATAAAGGCATTAGTTTTCCGGAATGGTAATACTTGAGCAATATGATGAGCAGGAAGATAATTTGATTATTGTAGTGCTGTTTATGTATAAAGATGACTCTTACTACTTACCATAAACAAGGCCGTCACTTGGTAATTTTTATTTTGCTAATTAGATAAAAAAAGAAAATGTAATAAATATTTTTATTAACCTTTTTTGTATTGGCAATATCAGCTAAAAATTGGGAGTGATATTCATAGTTTGCTTTTGGAAACTTTTAGTTCGTAATATATTTTCTTTAATAAATAATTCATAATTCACTCATCTCAATAATATGACATACTACATTAAACTGTTACATACATATACATATTAATGACACAGGAATGTGCATGTCTGTGGAGCTAAGTATATATCAGAATTAACATTCTCCGTCAACCTGTTCCATTTAAGAAAATTAAACAATCTCACAATGGCTTGTCGATTTCCTATTCAAAATATATTAAAATATTCTCAATTACTAACTATAAGCGTCTCTCTACGGATTGCACTAGTTGTCTAATGTCTAATCGACTTCAAGAAGAATTTACTTTACAAAATACTTCTACTATTTTTGTTATTTATATAACGATGATGAATTTTTATGATGTTTTTTGCTGTCGATAAAATTTGCATTCGTGTTGATATATCGTTCTAATTTCATTACAAATCAGTCTTTAATGTGTAACATTTAATTTAGCAGATCAAACTGATTAACGGTATGGCGACGCGTCGCCATTCTATACGGCAGTGTGAAACATCTTTTACAGTGCGATGAGAATTCGTCATATGCGCAAGCGGCTGTGTGATTCTCTCTCCATTTTATCCAAATTATTATTTATCAAATTATTTTAAAGTATTATGTTTCAATTCAATTGTTGAGAACAAACTAAAAGTCCATTACCTCACATAAGCTCTCGAAACCTTCATAATATTTTCTGAATACTGTGTACTGAAACTAAGCAATAGACACAAACAATATTCAGAGATAGTCATCTAATACCGATCTATCTCTAAATAATTTTACACTATAAAATTCAAACCTAACTTAAATATGTAGATACTAATGTAGGTAGGTTTTAATGTAACAAATGTAATAATATAGGATCTTATTTTTTTAATTAATAGTTATTATAATGAAAGGATTCATAATTTAATGTTTAAGTTTATACCATAAAAATAATTAATTAAATTAGTTTATTTTAAATAAAATCTAACGAAGTCAAGTGCATAACGTAAATAAAAAGTTTCAAAGTATACCTAAACAGCTAAGTAAGACACTACAACGTACTGTGCCTGATGCGTAGCTCACTCTTATTTTCTTATGTCTGATCTTGCATAGTAAAAAATGAGATATCAGTACAATTACGAGCAAAGAAGACATACCGGTATCATCAGCATCAATATTCCATGAAAACGCTGTGGAGGTAGTGTAATGTCGCTTATCATCTTGTAGGTCTATACTGTTGCATAGCCATTATTGTGTATTGGCACTTTTCATCAGTGGGCAGTAGCTATTAACTAATTATTCTTATTCCAGTCACAAAAAAACTTTATGGTTTAAATGTGAACTGAACTCTATTAGAACGCAAGAACTAAACGCAATAGCATGGGCAATTTAGGTGAATTCCCAGTTTTTTCTTTTTACATTCATAAGATTTAAAAAATATGAAATGCTGAAGTAGTTTTCCTTTATTTATAAATGTGTAGATGTGTCAAAAAGTTGACGGTGAAATGTAGTAACAAAAAAACATACTGATAAACAAATGTCGGTCAGTTAAAATTTACACAGGAACACTGAGGGAATAGGAATAATATTATTGATTTACCATCATATACCTACATACTATTTACATATACCACAAAATAATAACAATTGAGAACCTGTTACTTTTGACAGTATGTTGGAAACGTTAAATATCTGGTATAAATTATTTAATATCTTGATCGGATTTTTCTTTTTATTATATTATATTATAGATTTTTAAACAAGACAAATTATGTATAAAATAATTATAAAATTGCTACTTTGTTTTACAAAAGAAATAATTATTTTAAATTATAGATACGTAAGGTACTTGTAATGAAGAAAGTTACCTTTAATTTAATCGTACCCAGGGTGATTACAAAATTTATATTTTTAAGCTGTACACTTTTTATTTAACCCTCTTTTAAAGAGAGTATTACTTAATTATTATTTTTCTGTACACTTAAAAATGCAAACAGGAAATGTGTGCATAATAAATGAAATTAAAGATTTATTCAGGAATATTTTTATTAGGAAAACACAAATTCTCCTAAACATAATATTCATGATTTACTTTTATAAGAGTCTATTTACATTATTGAATAATCAGTTGTTTGAGTCATATAACTTACATATAATTTTAATACATATATTTTAACGAAGCTATGCATATCTTACGACACAACCATACATTTATAACACGGTGTTTGAATAGCCGTTCCTGTCGGAATCCAGGACTACATTGTTCCACCAATAAAAAACTATAAAACTGGAACTGATGATAATTAAATTTCAAACTTAACAAAAGCACGACTGGGCTGGCGGCGACGGCGTCCAGCGCGTGATCGTGCTCGCGGGACGCGCCGGGCGCTCAGTAGCGCTGCCAGGCGCAGGAGGACGAGGCAGCGGAGGCGCCGGCTCGCGGCGCCGACCCCTGCCGTCACAGCTCCGAGAAAAACTCCGGTGAAGAATGAGGTGTGGGAGGAGCGTGCTGCGGCACAGCGTGTTCACGTCCCACCATTGCTAGTCTTTGCTTCAATAAATCCCTTTCGTGCGTGACGCGAGCCACCTGCAGTTGCAGGACATGCAACTCGTCCTGCAATGATCGGTTTGTCAACTCTAGTTCTTGCCGTTGCTGTAATCTCTTGCTGCGACAGTTTTGAGCGTAGCCTCTGTTTTTTAATGTGCGTCGTTTTTGTTTCAGTCGTGTTACGTCTTCGCGGGGAAATCCATGAAGACGCTTATTCAGCTCACGAACGCTCAATGTCATCAAAAGATCATCGCTAATGAGATCTTCACCACACGACGAAGGTTGATAGGAGGGATGTGGTCCAGTGCGTGGAGATAAAGCTGAGCATGAACTCGCCGGTCGTAATGCTACTTGTTGTATATGATGATCCTGTTCTCTCCATTCTCGCCGATCCCAATCTTCGAAAGTCCCGCAGGGTACTGTACGCATATCCAGCGGTTCACGCATATGAGGAAGCCACAAAACATCGTCGACCAGAGCCGCGCGACACGGGCTCCGTCCGACGGGTGCTGGTGGCGTCTCTGGAGGTGTGCTAGGATCTACGGCGATAGCTATATGTGGTTGAGGATACGGTCCTGTATCTGGCCACGGTCGGCAAGCGCGGGCGCACGCAGGGGGTCCTTCTGCCATTTCGTGCCAACCATTTCGTAAAGGCTCCCGTTTTACTAAATGATGATCTTCGAGATGATCAAGCTCAAAATTTTGCACATACTCGTCGGCGAGCTGGTCTTCTTCAGCTTCTCGATGCGGCTGTGGGGGCAGGGTTTGCATGGCGCTCGCCTGAGTGCAATCTACGAGCGCGTGTTCCACCATGAGGCCGTGCGGGGCGCGAGCCGGCCGTGAGCGGACTGCGACGCGACTCACACCGCCCCGAAACTCCGCCCTCCGGCCCAATGACGTTCAGCGACGCGCGCATACTATTACAGCCTTCTATATTCACGATTATAAGTTTGCTAACACCAGAATATTCTAATAATATAAACATAACATGACACACATTCATGAAACAAATCGTAATAAGTACGCACTTACATTGTTAGTTATGTATGTGTGTTTCTCAAATAAATCAATGCAATATGCAATATTTTTAAATTATCGTTACTTAATAAGTTTATTTATTTGTTAACGGCAAATGTGTGATGCGGTGCTATGTGATGAATGTAGATTTGAAAACCTTCATATCCAAAACATCAAATTAACAGCCGTGGCATTTTACTAACAAACAATTTTCGTAGGACGTCTACGAAGAGTTCGCATTCTTTATTTTACCAACGTGAATTTTTTAGGTACTAAGGACGACTAAAGTCCCGACCCGGTTTCGCATGGGTTCTATTATTGTAAGAATTGTTATTTTTATTAATAATACAATACAGAGCATGATGCCTACTGGCTCATATGATGTAATTTATGTATGAAATAACTTTTGATATCTTTAAGAATACTTAAGTATTTAAAGTAAATCACTCGCCTTTGTAGTATTAGTTTAGATATATTTCTTATATTTTCTTTTCATTAACAATTGTAAAAAAAAATATAGACGTTTCGGCAGCGAGCAGATCAACTACAGAACAAAGTGATTTCACGCGTGGCTGATTGCGGAAGGGTTAACTTCAGCATGCATAATTCCAAGTTACATTTAATCACCGGCCACAAACCGGTGGGTGCCACTTTAAATATCTAACCCTCCCTCGTTATGCCGAATAATCGAATCGATGCGCTTATTACTGCAAGAACAATCTTAGAAATGATTTATTTACTTACTACATTAACAATCTGTATATTTTTCCAATATAACATATAGTTCATAACTAAGTTATTTTAGAAAGATATAAGTATTTCATACAACCGAGTATTTTATTTTAGGTATATAAATAATTAACATTTTTAAATTTTAATTATTTAAAAATGTTAATTGAATAAATGAAGGACATTTTTAAATTTATGGCGGACATTATTTATACTCGCTCAATACTTATCTCGACAAATTTATCGGGCGAGTTTCAATAGTAGCAACAAACGAAGATGTCTGAAGGTAGACGAATATGCCTATACATAAATTTTATTTACTACCTACCCGCTGCTCTTCAGTTTACCCGTGATCAAGACGGTTGATACACTCCCGAAATATCGGAAAGTTAATAAAAATAAATAAACGTGGTGAGATTTTCCTAATTTTACGTAACAAATGAAAAACTACCGACTAATGCTGACAAAACCTTATACAATTAATTTACTTTTTTTATTATTTAGTTCAATTATTTAGAACTACACTTCTATTAAATATTTTCATGGAATTGTACATGACCAGTTCTGATCTCAGAATGGCAGGAGGGGTCAGATTTACTTCTGATTCAGGAAGTGCTTGCCTGATTTTTTAGCTGGGAACTTTTTTAAATTCAATTTCATGCAACATTCTAATTATGATAATAAATAGTTTTCTAATAATATCTTATTCTACGTAAATCTTGACAAAATTAGTATGGAGCATTAGAGCGTAATTAAATTTTGTGTATTTTCCATACATTAAAAAAACATTGTTACAAATATATATTCAAATATTACGTTATACGAGTCGTTGAATTTCATTCTCAATAAACTTATGACTTATAATCTACAATGGCATCCTTATTTAAAGGTACATAAATATAAAATGGTTGATTGGAAATATCTTCAGTAAGTACAGTATCAGGGATTATTGGACATGCGAACTTTCACTTCATATAATTATAGTTTTAATAGGTAATATTAATTATCATTGGTGGAATTGTGGGATATTGTTATTCTATTGTAGTACTTATTATAATATGAAAAAAAAATTAAACATATTTTTACTGTTTTCACAGTTTTATTAAAAAAATGTGAAAACAGTAAAAATAAAGCCGTATAACCATATCATTAATTTAATTTTAAACACAGAAACGTTTGTAACATCATATTATATTTATGAGTAAGTACCTATTCAACAACGTACGAGTAGGTACGTACGTATGGCGATAGGGTTGCGATGCGGTAATATCTACGCAGAGCGGCACGGTGCGGTGCGGTGATCCGTGGGCTGACGCAGCCGCCGCTGTTTGCACGCCACGGTCAACATTGTTAGCGGCTGTCTCTCCTCTCCCAGCATTCCCGGCACACTCGGCTCGCACAGCAAATGTTATTACGTAATTAAACCCCCGTAACACGTTACCGACTTGTGTTTGACCTCGCTCTGTTAATTGCCCACTTCGATTATTTCGCACCAAATAATGTTGTTAATAATAGGTACCTTAATCTTAATCATACATATTATTTCCAGATTAGAAAGAAGTCTTTTAATAAATATTAAGTTGTACCTAATAAAATATTTTTAGTTATTTGTATCGTCTTCCAGATTTCAATTGAATCATTTTATGTTACGAGTACCTAACTGTTTACCATCAGCATCAAGTTAGTCAAAAATGAAAATTAACACAATGTTTTAAGGTCGGCTCGGTTTATTATAAATAATAATAATATGGTGCATCCCACTACGCTAACGATGTACGTTGACAGGGCACTAGTGAAGGATGATAAGATGATTCCTTAAGTATTAATCACTGTAATATCCAGGCGAGTACTATAATCACGAGGAGATAAGTCACCTTGGTTATCTTTAATTTATAAAACATGTATAAAGCCACTACTTATATCATATTTTTTACAGAATATCCAAATAAATAGAGCCTTTATGTTAAGATATACCTACAGTTTGAAAGGCTCACCTACTTTGCTATTTGTTAATTTTAATAAGGGTTCAAATAGCAAAAATATTCATTTATATAGTAATATATGAACATTGACCGATTTCGGTCACGGCGACAACTTCAACTTACAACTACTCAAAGTACTTTCTAGTCGAAGAGTATATTGTATTTATGAGAGGTTTACCTAAATTCGGTAATTGTTAGCGTTGGTGTACTCATGTAGTTAATATCCAGAAGTGTACTCTAAAAAACTACGTGGATACCTCTCTCTCTTATTTCAGCCGGCAAGCAGCTTGCCTTGTAAAATGTGTTTCAGTTATTAGGGACAGAACAGAAGAAACTACAGGTTAAGAGGCATGATATCTTGGTTCTCTGGAATAGCAACGTATGGGTGGTATAGCAGTTGTCACATGTAACGTGGCATGCGTATTGCTATTCATGTATATAATCGACAGTTACCGTTTACCATCAGGTGGGATGCTAATCTGACGTTCTAATTACTTTAAAAAAATCCAAATTTTGTTATTCATATATGAAATCTATTTATGATACAGTAGAGATTGAAATATACAGTCAAAATTTGTTTCAGACTCAGTGTAACTGGCTGTGGGAGTTTTTGAAGCTAAAAAACTAAACAGTTTGTACCTTGTAGGCTGTTGTTTTATAAACAATAGACGGGCACCCCAGTGCACGGTAAGAGTATAAGACTCCCAGAGGCGGAACACGTTCGTGCGCTATCGAAGACTCTTCATCAATTGATTCGACGCCCAGCGACTCTCACGAGGCCGTCGATCCTCTCGGTACAGCCAGCAAACTCTCATGATTTAAATAGTTCTACAAAAAAATTACAACAAACATTTTAAATGTATCTACCTACCTTTATCGTTATATCGTATTATTTTTATATCGTACTTATCAAATAAAAAGTTTATTGGTAATATTGTAGTAGGTACCTATACGACTCTCATTGAAATGATTTTAACGATTTCAATGAAAATTAGTATATACTTTGATAACATTTTGCTTTTCTAGTTTATATATTTAAAAGAAATAGAAATAATCTTTATTCAAATAAACTCATTACAAGCACTTTTGAATAGTCATATTTTGATTCTACCACTCATTCGGAATGCAGATTCATCACAAGAAGAATGAGCAAGAAACTTGTGTGTTACTCTTTCTAAAAGATGTTTTTTTATATAAATAATTACAGTATAACAAGTAAGAGGCTTGCGATAATCAACATAGAAATCGCTACGCACTCATTATTAGTGTAATCAGATAATATTGTCAGTGCTATGTATTTAAAGTTTTTCTATAAAAACATTATTATCGTTAACGAATTCTTCAATTTTATAGTAAGCTTTTTTGCAAAGGAAATGTTTTATTTGACATTTAAATCTTTTTTCTGGCAGATTTATAACAGACTCTGGTATTTTATTGTAAAACCTTACGCAATTGCCATAAAACGAATTACTAACTTTAGCCAAACGACATTTAGGTAAAATCAGTTTGTATTGTTACGTAAGATTTTATTAGTGCAATCACTAACTCTTTTGAAACTGTCTAGATTCTTCCTGACATACGTGAAATTTTCATAATTGTATTGAGAAGCAACGGTGAGGATATTTGATTCCTTAAAGCACTCTCGTAAAGACTCCCTGGAACCCATACCATAAATGGAGCGAATGGCCCTCTTTTGTAAAGTAAATATTGTATTTATATCAGCTGCTTTGCCCCATAACAAAATACCATACGACATAATGCTATGGAAATAGCTAAAATAGAAAGTTTAGCCGTTGCCACGTCTGTTAATTGTCTAATTCAATATTCCAAATTGAAAATATATATACTTTTTAAAACACTGCTCTATAAGTTAATCCATGTAAACCGTCTAGATGACCAAAGAAACTTGGTAGCAATGTATATTAACATTTATTGATGACATTCGTAGTCTAGCGGTTTAGCACACCGCTTTACTGGTAGCGGGTTCGATTTCCCGCACTGTGCAAAGATTTTTATTTATGAGTTTATTTCTATTGATTTGGGTATTTTTATATAGGTGCCTGTATCTATTGTGTACGTATTTTTGTAAAAAAATGTATCCGAGCATTTATAATAGTTGTCTAGTAGACATAACATGAGCATTAATATGATTATTAATAGTATGTTATCTACTTAGGTAAATCCGCTGAAAAATAAATTGTAAAAATGTATTCAAATAATAAAGGCAAAAGTAGTATAACATAGGTATTAAATTGACCATATCAGTGGAGGGTCAATAACTATTAAACCTAAATAGAAATAATTATAGACTCAATAACTGGCCCGTGGTCATAAGCACAGCTAATACTGGTTTATTACCAAAGAATTGGCGATACTCGTAAAGCAATCTTATGAAGCCATTTACTCAATAGAAATAAAAATTCGCCACAACACACTTCCTGACCTGACTTCATGAACACCCTATCATCTTTCACAAGTTGACCTTCATGGAAAAATCTTATTAAGAAGCCAAATAATAGAGTCCACGTTACATCATAACATTTATATTTTATATAAAACATTCAATTAAACAAATATAAATTTTAATGAATAGGCAAACGTTTCATCATATCAATTAATAACTTGAATACTAAAAAATAGAGGCTGCTAGTAGAATATTGAAAATTTAGGAGTGTATTTTTCATGTCGAATCATAATGAAATAAAAAATGTCAAAATATAAAAAAAATATATGGGGTAGCCTTTCTTATCACATAGGGGTATGAAAATAGCTAACAACACTTATCGAGTACCTGTACATAAAATTTTAATCAAAAAATTAACCGTTTCGGAGAAGTAAGGCAATTTTACCTAAATGTCGTTTGGCTAAAGTTAGTAATTCGTTTTATGGCAATTGCGTAAGGTTTTACAATAAAATACCAGAGTCTGTTATAAATCTGCCAGAAAAAAGATTTAAATGTCAAATAAAACAGTTCCTTTGCAAAAAAGCTTACTATAAAATTGAAGAATTCGTTAACGATAATAATGTTTTTATAGAAAAACTTTAAATCTATAGCACTGACAATATTATCTGATTACATTAATAATGAGTGCGTAGCGACTTCTATGTTGATTATCGCATGCCTCTTACTTGTTATACTGTAATTATTTATATAAAAAAAAACATCTATTAAAAAGAGCAACACACAAGTTTCTTGCTCATTCTTCTTGTGATGAATCTGCATTCCGAATGTGTGGTAGAATCAAAATATGACTATTCAAAAGTGCTTGTAATGAGTTTATTTGAATAAAGATTATTTCTATTTCTATTTAGACAGGCACGCACACAATACAATTCTATATAGGGCCTACCTACACACATGCCGACTTGCAAACACAGCACGCAACATGCGTAGGTACAATATGTAGAACAGCTCTTCGTAGTGATGTCGCTGCATATATTAAGTAGGTTTAAAGGTCGTAATATTAACAGTGTATTTCTTTCACTCTTTATACGTGGAGCACTCAAAGTTTGGTAAAACTCAATAATTTCTATTTTTGGTACCATCTTACAAATAAATCTTTTCAAATATCCAATATCTTCAAATCCATCAGTATAAATACAAATTCTTATCCTAATATCATCTGAAATGTAAAGAACTCGGATAGCATGATGTTTTTCAAACTGCTATAGAAATAACATACTCAACAACAGTGCATCAGCGACAGTCTACAAATAATAATTAGGCTTAGGTAATCATATTTAACCCAGGACAATGCACACAGCGCCATCTACAATAGTTCGAAGCTAAACAGTACTTGTGTTATGGATCATCACTACATATTATAAAACAAAGTCGCTGTCTGTTCGTCCCTATGTATGCTTAAATCTTTAAAACTACGCGACGAATTTTGAAGCGGTTTTTTTTAAAAGATAGAGTGATTCAAGAGGAAGGTTTATATGTATAGTGCATAGGTATGCACTATACATATAAACCTTCCTACCTACTACCTAATATTGTAGAGAAACACTGATAAATTTAGAGATTTCTAATGTAATGTCGTAAATAAACACATTTTTTTGCGCTTACATTGCAAACGCTGGCTGAACCCGTACAAGATAAATCAAAATAATGTACTACAGTACCTAAGCCTAACCTAAGCCTTAAAAAGGTCATCAAAAAAGTCCGGGATGGTATATGTCTATCTCTTAAGAATAACCACTTTTTATCCTTTATATTTTACGGAAAATATGGCTTATATACGAAGTGATTTTAAGCAATACAGCATTAATTTTTATCTAGTAAAGTATCTTAAATACATTGTCAATTTAATATAGATCAATATGGCTCTTACAGCATATAATTTTAACGAATATTTCCGAAGATATTACAAATTTAAAATGCAGGGATCGCAGGGTCGAACTTTCAACTTTGCGGGCTTAGATTTGACCGTTGAGTGTTTTATCTTGGTCTTTCAAGAGTAACCTCTAAAGAAAACATGGTCATATTGCCTAATGACAAAAAAGCTGTAAATGTTGTTTTCTATAAATTTAGTATCAGCATTGCACCCGTGCGAAGCCGGGGCGGCTCGCTAGTCCTAAATAAATGACAGAAATATTGTACTTAAATACTGTTTACATTATATTTATTATATACATATATATAGAAGTCATTGACTAATTGACGAATATGAATACCTATATATCTATGTATCGTGCACGGAAACGACCCCCTACCTTCGTACTAAATAGCTAGACCACCCAGGTCGCCACAGGTATAAAAAATACAGTCAATTTTAGTACCTCCTTCGATATGAAGTCGGTTAAAAACATTGGCAATAGATCTTGCTGTGTGCACTGATAATATTGACCTTCAAGACAATCAGATTAGGGTTCATCACCCTCGTAGTTACTACACACTTGTCAACACGTGACAAGTCAAAGGTTATATCTACCTAGAAAATGCTAGATATAACCCATAATTATGCAATATTACAGAAACACAGCAGTACACAGCCAGTCCCCGATATGGTCTCTGAACATGTAAAGAATGAAAATGTAATGTAAAAAATGTAAAGAAGAAAAACGTGCTAACTTTAGAATAGTCGCATATGTAATGTGGAACATCTTACATCTGAACAACCTCTCGAAAAATTTGGCTCGGATCCCGAATTAATACCCTTCGATTGTCAACTCAACCACGGCGCGCGCTCATCAAGTTGGCTTCATGTTACTTATTTTTTACTTCTTTTCTCTAAAACACTCCCAAACCACAAAGAAAACTAAGAGAAAGGACACAACAATAACAATAACATCTGTAATCTCTGTGTCCCCTAATTTGTTCACTGTGTATTTAAATTAATGCTTATATCTCCTGGCCTATTGCCAAGAGATATAGGCAAGGTACACTAGTGCAAACCTTGGACTATGGAGTAGATACCCGTGGTTCATCTTGGTAGTCCTAAATTACAACAGGTGTGGTAAAATACTACTAGTAGTAGTAATAGTATAGTAAACACTTATACACACGCTGTACTATATTTATTCCAATCGGTTTACTAACAAGAGTCTTAATCCATTGTTATTCCGAATACCTACAAAAACACTCGGGTTTGAAGTCGCGGATGCAGCTAGTGATAAATAAAAGTATATAATTTTTTAAAATAAAATATATATTTTTTAAACAAATTACAAAATAATAATTTATGTTTAATTAGAACCATAATTTGGAATACAACCTTTGGTGTGAAAAACGTTTTTTTATATAATTATATCAAAGTATAAAAAAAGCACTGTATAATTTTGCCCTTTTTCTAATTTATATCATCACCTTTACTGAGCTTAACACAATAATATTAAACAAACACATCAACGCAATAAAAATTACCAATTCTACTAATGACTATAGGTACCTACTTATTGTTGTGTTTTAGTTATAAATAACAAAGTTATTTGTTTTATCACTGATATGAAGATTAGATACGATTTTAACAAAGCATCCCCACAAAATCATTGTCCTAAAATTGTGTAGTTAATCAGTACCAAAACTATTATTATTATTAGATAGATTATTATCTCTTTTGGGACCAAATTATAAAAATTATATCAACAAACTCCGTATGCGTTTCCTCTTACACGATCCATTACAAATATTTCATATTCAACAACATATTCTTGTACTATACATTATTATTCAATAAAAAATATTATACTATAAATACATAATTTTATTTTGCCGATAATTTTCACTTATCACAATATATATAAACATATACATGTGTGCATAGGCACATTCAGTCTTGATTTGACTTTTTATAAATTGAATATTCAAATTCATAGGAATGGTAATATTTAATATTACAGTAAACATAAATGCAATATAAAAATAGATATATTTTGGTTAAAAGTGTTAATTATTATTGATTAGTTAAAGCGTACTTAATTGCATACATTAAATTATTTTTTAACTTATATCACACTGTTATTGTACTAACAATTATGAAAAATATTTGTTCGAAAATGAATCCATCACCTTGTGTTATGAAAATCACTAAATAGATATATTATACTAGACATAAAATTAGTGAAATTATTATAACAGAATATTAATAATAAACTAACTAGCACATGTTCTTCCGATTCAATAATGAATTGTAATTATTTAAGCATATAAATAAATTAGTAATTCAATATGATAAAATATAAATTTTCAGTAGTAAAAATAATGTTCTATTACATATGTTATGCAGGTTCTAAAATCTTAAACTAGCCAAGTAATAAAATATGTGTTTATGGCATTACAGAATCATGCACCATACAACTTTCATAACAACAGTATAAACTCTATCAAACTTCTATTCAACACTTTAAAGTATACTTATCTACTAAATATCTTACTTATCTAATAATATATATATCTAAAAAATTGTGCATGATAATTTCATAACATTAAATTAAATTCATTATTATTTTACCAGAAATTTCTACAGACTCGTCTACACCGGTTATTGCCATCGTTTCTATTATATACATACATATATCTCCCAAGAAAGTTGCTTTGCGATACACCTTAATGTTTAAGAGATTTATACTAAAGGCATAAAAACGTATTTTGTTATTTCCCTGATGCTGTTCACACCAGGTACATAGTCTAAACTTTCCAATATCCATTAATAGGGTCCAGTGGCATCGTTTGCCATCATATATCATAAAAAATATTTTCTTGTTATTGAGTTAACAAATAATAGCAATGTAGAAAGAGCATAGTACTCTAAGTGCGAAATTTCGTAAAATATAAATAAACAAATCATAGAATTAACAGGAAAAATAAGATAGAGATAACAAAGTTAGATTACAAGCAACATAAAAAGACGTCACAATGAACGAAGCTAACAATTAATATAAAATAGAAACATACAGAGTGCTCAAACACAGAACCTCATCCTTTTTTGAAGTCGATTAACAACTTATATTTGGAAGAGCAGAAGACAAATTATAAAACTATTATTATACTAGTACTATTAATACAAAATTTACAAACATATATTTTTTACTACAAAACTTGTAGATGTAGTGTCATGCTAGTAATATATCCTTTCTCTCTTTGATGAATAATGTAAATATAATTATATGAAAATTACAATAAGACTAAACATGAGACAATGTCTCGGAATTAAATGCTTTAAACTTTTACCGCAAGGATGCGAAATTTATCAATTTTCATATTAATACATCTAAATATGAATTATTGCAGAACGGACCAATTCCGATTAATTGTAATTCAGGTCACATTCTCTTATAAATATTTCATGGAATAATTTCATCATAGTAAATAAAAATCTAGTCTTGTTGAACTGCAAAATGAACCAAAGCATAATCATGGAAGTACATCATAATTGCAAGTGGTTGACCAAGGATGAGAGAGCTCCAGACGATGATATTGCCCCAGCGAGGGCCCCACGTTTTTTCCGCGAAGCGTGAAATAATAGCCAGCGGTGGCTGCACCATCATGCCTAAGAATGCCCAAATTCTGAACATTTGCAGCGGTACACTCACCTGTAATGTTATATTTTACAATATTAATGGTTTGATATAGTCTACTAGATTTAGTATTGAGTACAGCACAATTTAGGTGGTACTCTATACGATTAACGACATTAAATTTATTCAATACATTATTCATAATTAATATAAGTATATTATCAGAGATGTACAGAATAGGTTATAAAATCTATTGGATACAAATGCAAATAATTTATATATTTTTAGTTTTAAATGAAAAATATAGTATGTCGTAATAATTATTTAAAATAAAAAACTTTTATCTTAATTTATTTTATTCGTATAATTTTAACCAGTCAGTAAAATATAGGCCACGAATGGCAGTGTGCACTTGTAGTCATTCACTTTGAATTCAAATAAAAGTAATAATACTTAAATCCATTTATTATACTTATTATGGTACTAGTGTATCATATAAGGTTATCTTTTGACATAATGGAGTAAGTCCATTTGGTTCTTTTTGACAGTTTAATAGTTAGACAGCAAGTTTTGGAAGTGTTTATAAAAATATGTTTATACTATTTAAAAATTATTTTAATTTTATTTGGAATGGCGAACAAGTTTACGATAAACCTGATCGTGAGTGGTAACCGCTGCATTTGTACATAAATAAAACTTATACTAACTATTTATGTATATATACAACGGTTACCACATAACATCATGTAGGTGTCATCATTAGCTTGTTTGCCATTCTGTAACAATACATTACATAAAAAGAATGACTTACCAAATATTCGTGGAATAAAGCCGATATGCAGAATACTACGAGACTGGCAACAAATCTGCTATGACCTCTTTCCGTAATAGGTTTATACACGTGGCGTACAGCCCACCTGTGCACAGGCAAGTTCCAGCTACTCCAAAAGATGGCTATATTATTCGCATTCCACCAATCGCCGTAGAAATTACGGTCAGCAAAATGTAGTAACTCGCCCAATAAGTTCAGGAACGAGTGGAAACAAAGGTAGAAGAAACACAGCCAAATGAGATGATTTGGAACCTATAATGAGAAAATTCCACGTAAGCATATTTTTTTTCAAAAACCCATCTGATTTAAATCATAGATTAATCAAACTAATGTAGAATAAGACACATATGATTATTGTAAACTGATAACTTTAACCATATGATACGCATGAATAATAATTATTTGTAGGTCAATACAACTGTTTTCCTAATTCCTCATTTAATGATAAAACATTATTATCTAAGTTTCATGATCATTACCAAAGTATCTGTTTTTAAGTTAATAATAGTTTTCATAGAACAGGATTCGAAATTAAATAATCCTGTATCCAATGAAGTACAACGTACCATCTCAACATTTTCTACAGCGGAGAGTCAGTCAGAGATAACAAAAATATAAATAGTATTTATATTTTTTTCGGTATCGGTCAGAGTTGAATTCTCGACATCGTGGCGTAATTCAGGATATTAAACCACTAGGTCACGACTCTTTGAACTTCGCTCGCAACAAAGTAATCATTGCGGATTACAGAGTATTTGTCTGTACCTATATGTTCGAGAACTACTGCGATGATCTTTCATGGATTGATAGATATGGTGTAGTTTTAATATATTTATGTAATTATTATCACATACATAGTATACATACTACTACAGATTTTTAACTTACATAATATTCATCAAATAATAATATGTTAGCTAGTTTCAGGACATAATATACCTTTATATGGTAATTGTATACATTATATAAATTGTATACTGGTTCTAACGCCAACTTGCTTTAGGAAACATTGGTCTTAACGTTAAACTAAAACTACTAGATGGCATCGTAGTCATTACTTGATATTGCAATGCTATTCTCTCAAAGCTCTGCTACAATTATAGTTTTGTACCCATATATACAAACTGTTTAATTATGAATAAGTTAAAAATTATTAACAACCGACTTCTTTGAGTTCATAGCGCAGAAAAATATCTTATATATAAAATCCTCGTGTCACGATGTTAGTTACCATACTCCTCTGAAACGGCTTGACCGATTTTTATGAAATTTTATATGCATATTCAGTAGGTCTGAGAATCGGCTACTATATATTTTTCATACCCCTAAGTGATAAGGGTTGTCCACCCTAAATTTTCACCCTTCTATCACCAACCCCTATTTTTTATAGCGTTATTAATTTATATGGCAAAACAACGTTTGCCGGGACAGCTAGTACGAATATAAATTTTGTAAAACTTCACACATTTTTAATTTTTTATTTACTATGATTGCTTTTAGAAATAAAATAGTTTCATTGTTATATACATTTTATGTTTTTAATGGAAAGGGCTATTTGACAAAAATAAAACATGTTAAGATAATTAGGTCCAGATTTTTTTAGTATTTGTATTAATCTGTCAGTTAACGCTGCAGAGTTGTTGTAGCCATTCCAAATAAACTGATTAAAAAGTAACAAGTTTAACCATTATGTAGATAGTTAAAGCTCTCTTTATTTACAATTAAATTGTAAATATTTACTTATCTAAATGTCATTAACTGATAACTAACATTTGATTTATTAATTTTATACACATTATCGTCGTAGACGATTTATGTGATACGGAACATAGACAACGTTATTGGTCCGTCGCCGTCCCAATTATATAAAAATATATAGTACAATTTCCAAGAAAACAATACTTATAAAAAACTGAAATTTTAACCGACTTCAAGAAAGGGAGGACGTTTTCAATTACTCTATATTTTTTTATTAGAATTACTTCAATTTTTACCGGGAGGACTAATTTTATACATGTTTTTTTTTGGATCAGCTTCTCATGTACTATATAAATTTTATCAAGATCTGACCAGTCGTTTTTTTAGTTACTCCTAATATTGCGCATTTCATTATTTCTTATCGATGTATACATTATACTATCATGAACACATTGAAGTCGTTTTTTTGTGACTACAACACACGTAGTTATTTTAACATCGAATACAAAAAATATTTACCGCGAGTTTCAATAACCTCTCCGTCATCTTCATAGCATCCATTTGGGAGAACGTATGTATTGAAGAGGTCAGAGAAGGTATCATCCATTGTTGGAGCAATCCCAAAACAAGATGCGTACCAACTATCACTTCTAGCAGCCTTTTAATCAAGAACCTTTTTCGGATGCTGAAATATTAATACACAAAATATTATTAAGTGCAAAAAATATTATAAACTACACAAAATATTATAAATTACACAAAATATTATTATAATGCAAAAGTGTCATTTAGTACTAGCTGTGCCCACGATTTAGTATAACTAACCAGTTAACTCATGTTTTATATTAGTGTACACAAACAGAAACAAAAAAAATCAGACAAAATATTTTTTGTTGTATACCACGATGGTAGCAATCAACACGACCCATCTGATGGTAAACAGTTACCGTAACCTATGAACGCTTGAATACAAATTTTTGATAGTTCATACGTATGCACAATTTTATTACCCAATAAATTATCATTAGACGGTGTGTTATCTGTTATCCTACAAATTATTATTTAGATAAATAATTACTTAAAAAAAGTTTTTGTACATTGATAGTCACAATTGCGTAGATTTATAATGAAGTTTGAGGTTTTAGACCATCTATATATTGTTGTGATATTATTTTAAGATCTAATTAAAGGCCGTACCTAACAAAAAATCCCTACTTATAATACTTATGCTTTTTAATACTCTGTACTTAATGCGACTGGTTTTGTTATCAACATATCTAAATATAATATCCATCCTGTGACACATTTATCACATTATTCCACTGTGATATATATTAGAAAAATATTTTATAACATTGATGTATTTTTTGTGCAAGAAATACAAATTCGATTCTAATTAATTAGATTTGTAGCGCACTAGCTTTTTATATTTCATTTTTACGGTCATATTTATAGTTTTTTTTTCATTATTTATTACATCACAACTCTTTCAAATTTTACCTCTTAACCCAAAAAATACAGTCAGAAATCCTTATCATCTTCAATATATATCTGCTTTAAAGTTTTTCTTTATTTATTATTTGGTTATTCGGTACTTACCGTGCAGTTCGTGGAAAGTTTAGTTCGTAGCACAGCGTGGGAGCCAGCATGAAGTAGAACAGATCCTTTAGTGTCAGGTTATCGGGATATTTGACGAATCCAGCCGCAACAGCCGCGTCACTTTTCTCTTCTTCAACTGTCTCTGCAGATTTAATATAATTGATTGCACCCGTAAACTAAACTGCATAAGCAGCATAAAAATTAATTTTAGAGAAATAAACTTTAAAGTTAACTATTTAAACTCCATTTCCCAAAAATCTAAATTTTTGCGTTTATTAATTCTAGTATTAAATGTGCGATATACATAGATGCCTTTTATATGTTAGTCACAGAAAGAAAAATATATGTTAAAACTAAATATTGATTTCTAGAAAATATAGGAACATATTGGACGATCGTATAGACCGACCGTAAGAAACAATAATAAATTAATTAATTACAACACAGAAGCGAGGTGGAAAGTTTATTATATAATTAGATAGGTGTATCAGAATGGAGAAGATATGTATTATATCATAACTATTAGACGATTAATTCCCAAGTTGGTTGGTTATTACTTTCGATTGTAGATGATAATTATAGTAAATGATGATGCTGATGATGACGGCAGAGAAAATATTATACCAAGTTTTCCGTGTATAAGTAAAAAATTTATTACAAGTAATTATGAATAATAAAGTAATTATAATCTATTTTTGTACCATGACGTTTGATTGAAACCCTGTGGTAAACATTTCATTGTCTATCGATGCAACAGATAATAAATAACGCATAGCACAAAAAGGTTATTAAAACCTTTATTTTTATCATCATAACAACGGTGATAACAATATCTGTTACGAAACTACGAATTTATGTATTATGTAATAAGGAACTAACACAATTTTATATGTATAAGTAAACAAGTATACAGTTATATAAATAGGAAAAATAAGCTAAGCTGAAAGGAAAAGTTTAATGATGAAATGATGACTAGGTACATGATAACATGTTAGATATTAAGTTTTGAAAATAAAAATACTAAAACACGCTTTCAAGGTGTGAAGGTTATTTGAAAACAGAGGAGAAAAGCAGTAAGCAAAACAGTGATTTTAAGCTAGTTAAAAAAAAACGTCAAAAATAATGATAACAAACGCTGTCGCATAAAACAATAGATCGAAACTAAATAAAGCCACAAAGACACAATAGGAAAGAACGCAGAAACCATAGAAAACCAAAAAGCAGGGATGTATTACAAATTCAACTTACGCTCATGTTCAGCGTTATTGAGTGCATCTGTAAATATAACAATATGCTTTAAAGAACAATGAATAAGTGTCCAAATACAGTAATTGACATACTTAACATTTTTTTTTCAATCCTTGGAACCTAAATGCGTTTTTGTAGAATTAAAACATTATTTAATTATATTTTACAACTTGTTTGCGTTTACATTCGCAGATCGACATCATTTCGAATTTAGATTTGAATTATTAACCCGTACTTTTTTCTATAGCCTATATGGTGACCCAAAGTCAAGGGCATATTGTAAGAAATATTTGTCGTAATCCTCACGCCATTTATGTGTAAAGTATTAACACAAACAGATTGTTTTCACCTCGTCGCGATTTTACAATTTTATTATATGTAAAGATAAAGATTATATGTGAAGATAAAGATTATGTCGAGTAGCAGTCATTTCAAAGAAAATAGCACTTATTAAATAAAAATTGTTGTTAAATAAACACATTATGATTAATATTTTAAATATAAAGTACATACCTATATATTTTATATAATACAATACACACAATTGTGGGTAGTTGTATAATATTCATAAGTTATCACTGCAGTAAAGATATAAATGAAGATCAGAATGAAATTAAAAAATTGTAACCAAAATTTGATCTATTAAGTCGCAATTTTATCATTCAATTGACTGCTCCTATTAAAACTAACAACAAAACGAACTTTACAAGTCCGGCTTAATATAAATTTATATAAATACTGATAACCGATAAGGTCTTGAACAACAAATGGAATTAGACATATCGACCTTGGTGATAATTATAAAGACTTCATAGTACATCAATATTGTAGTAACTTTAGTTACTACTAGAGTTATTACTACCGCCCAAAGTTTCAATAAGAAAAAGAGCATTATTGTAGGAGAAGGCCTACCCTTACTTTTATGTAAGGGTAGGCCTCAAAAGGTAGTATGTATACGGTTATGTCTGTTACCCTTACCCGTGTAACAGACATAACCGTATACTCGTACACTGATAACAAAATTGCACCCAATTTGATTTTGATATATATTTTTAATGTGTACTATACATGTTATACTATACGAGTTGCCACACAAAAGGACTCTTCAGAAGCTTTTTGTTAAAACAAATAATATTAAAGAAACAGAAATATAAAATGCATGTCTCATAGACCAGCATTCCGTAGTCTTTTAAAAATGACTAGGTATTCGGAAGATAAAATACTTATAACATGAAATTTAAATACGGCATGTGCCATATTTAAATTTCATATTATAAGTTTATAGTTAAAGGCTTGTGTGACTTGTAAATTTAAAAAAAACAATCTTACTAAGGAGTATAACCTCTCGTAATCGTTACTACTACGACACCATATATACGATCTACGTATTACACCACCATATCTGACTACTAAAATTCTATAAAAAAAACGACGGATTTCATCATTTACTGTTTTAAAATAAATTTTGCCCAAAAACAACATTGTTATTTCGTATCTTTTGAGAATAAGGTTAACAAGAAATACTTACAAATTAAACAGGATATAACAATACGGAAATTAATTTATCATTATTGGACAGGTATCTATAAAATTAAATCACATTAATTACTTTGATAAATTGGTCAATAATATCCTATCAATGCTGTGTAGATAATTTAATATACTATGTAATGGCATTTGAGCTCCAGCATACAGTATTTTTTTTATTTCTATTAAGGGCTTTGGGCTTATTGCTAGGTTAATACCTGTAGCACTGCGACCTACATAGATCTATTATGCTCGCCCTTTTTCAAAGTTCGCTAACTAGGCCCGGGGATAAGGGATAAGAATTGAAGGATATTCTTAGGAGCGATGGTTTTTATTTCCTCAGGTGTATATTTATATTGTGTATACTTTCCAAAGTATATATGTCGCTTATGCATGAGTGGACTAATAACAACCACATACATAGAATGTGTAATAGCGTTTCCTCATCTGTTTGGCAAAATATGCAATTGTTGTTAATCTGAGGTCTAATTTTGCCATGTGTTTATTCAATTTGCAGTGTCCATGAAGGGCCCTAGTCATTATGTATATATTTATTTTTATTCAATAGTAATAGTCTATTGGACTATTGATTCGGTAAACAGTCTCTCTCTTTTTGTACCATCTAACAAAACAAAACCTGCTGAACACATTATATCACATGCATACTTTGAAGAATGGCATGCATTATGCTGTTACTTGGAACTGATAATATTGAATTAAGCTCTTAACGTGGTTTTATTATTGCATTTAGAGGTTGTATTAGTGAATCTGAACACATTTTGGAGCCAAGGTTAAAGGATAACCTTTTAAATTGAATTCAGTACGCTTGGAAAAAACATATTTGTTTGTAACCCCTAATAAAACATGTACTAGTAATTAACACGTGCATAAGCGTTATTCGACCGCACCTATTCGAGAACTATATCCGGTCTAGCAACGAGACGACCGCACCCTACTTTAAATTGTATTTTATTATTAAAAAGATCTAGTATAGGTACATATTTTAAATAGTAACTAGCCAAGTTTTAAAAGCCCGTTTGTATATTAGAGCTCATAAACATTAGATATACATATATAATTTTAGGCAAAACGTTCGTATTATATACTCCGGCATTTCCGGTAATACCTATAGTTAAACGTTATTATTTTTGTATAGATTAACCAAAACTATATGCAAAAGACATTCATCACTTATCGATAGGAAATTTTGAAAGAAATAAAAGTATTATAAAAAAATATATAATACCATAAAGGCATACTAGTAATAAATACAATATCGCATCACGGTTTCATGACCCGGTATGGTAACATGCCTAATCTGCTAAGATTAATGTTCGACGATTATGAAACAACAAATACCTACACACTGATAAAATTACGACTAATGTCGAACAACTTTGTTTAGTTGAAATATAACAATGATTCCTTATCTTTATTATCACAATGTCTGAAAGTAAATCATGTCACTTACTCCAATTGGGTGCTGATAGACTTTGACGCCGCAGTTTATTTTTCGATGATTTCCCTTTAAATGCATTTCGACACCAATGATTAGTTTGACTATAGCTCCATAGCTTGAGAAACAATATTAGATATACGAAGCACACAGTTGTTGTCCCAACTGAAAACAAAGAGAATTTATTTAATTTAGTAATTGTATACACCGATATTCGAAATAAAATAATATGTATAGAAAACATGAAAATATTACCGAAACTGAAATCATTGCCTTTAAAATATAGTACAATAACAGGCAACGTTATCACAAATATTATGTTGGACAGTTGTAAAGTAATGCCGATAGACTGAGAAAGTATACCCTGAAAAAAATAAACAAATTTAAACAGTGCTGATACGTAGATGGGGTCATTGATCGAAATCATTATTTATATTTTGAAAATGATATAGTATATGAACTACAAAAATAAGTATGTAAAGCTTAGAACAGCTAACTTTAAAATCGTGATTTTAATAATAACTTTGTTTATCAGACTCGTTACATTGTCCTGCTAACTGATTTGAATAAAATTTGACATTTGTACTAAGTTTATATACAAGGTTAATCGGAAAGGATATATTGATATGAAATTACCCCAGGTAACGAACAAGTTTTGTCCTACAACTTCCCCATATAATTAATTTAAAAAATCGCTTTCTGAAATAATATTATGCAGGATCAATTACTTATTAGTTATATGTAACTGTGCTTGCGGCTTACATACTAAGCCGCCCTTTCCCATTCAACCTATATTATGTGATATGAATTTATAGTTTAAAATGCATATTGCATAAAATTTTATACTGAAAATATCCCAATAACCAATACATAGGTATATTATGATGACTTTTGATGACTTTATGAAATTGATAGACAAGTGAAGTGACTAATGATAGGTATTTATTATGACTAAAATACTTTGAAATTTCATGTTCTATATTTAATTGGAAAATAATGACTAAATAATAATTTCTCTTAGTCATTAATTTAATTCCGTGTCACAATTGTTAACCATAAAAACAACAACAGTTCATGATAATATTATGTAGGTAAATGTTTATTTCGCTGTAATTATTAATAAGTCATGTCATGTCATATACACACAACCCGTTTATATGTTTATTTGTAATTCTTTCATTACTAAATTAAAGAACATATCAAAAAAAATATATACGAAATCAAGAATATCATAATGCTATAAAGAAAACATAACTTACTACTGCAATACCCTTTTCAATCAAAAGGGTTAAAACCGTGGGTACCACACAAACTGAAATAAAAATAAGTAACTATAACAATCATACAATACGAGGAAATAAATTTAAGTCACAGCATAGACGTCTATTGTTGTACGTATTTTCTAAAGTTTGTGCAATTGTAGATATATACACACAGACATGTACACAAACAGCTACTACTTATGTAATTAGCTACTTGTGAAAATCTATTTTTGTTTGTGTTTTCTCTTTATCATCTGCAATTATCTCTTCCAGTATATAGTATAATCAAAATATCAATCCAAATAAGGGATAGATAACTAACGAGAAAATGACAAAAAATCTCTTATAAGTATGTATAAACGATTAATTAACACGCCCAGAGGTGGATATCGATTTCATTTATAACCGAATCACAATATCAATTTAAATCCACAAAATTTTTGCAGTGCTGTCGCTTATAAATTTAATTAAAAAACTAAACTGAATAAATCTATAACAATTTCATATAATGAATTTTTTGATCACGAAATATGAAATTAATATGTTACTAGTATTTCATTTAATAATATAGAAGTAGCGCAATCCGATGTCATTTTCTCGAAATTAGTTTCTGTGGTAGACAAGTTCCTGGATGCAATGTCTTTTCAATAGAAAGGTGTAGTGTATACTGCTAAATGTTTTCAGCTACTTTAAATTAATTATGCACTGCTTGTTACGTTATTTTATTAAATATTTGGATTCTTGTAGAATAATATTAATATACGTTCTATAAATAATCCAAAGCATAATTGCTGTTTTAATCTGTACTATTAGTATTACTGTATTTCTCCACTTACTTATAAACTAAAAAATAGATTTTAATTTAATATTTTATTATAATCACACTGAAACTCCCTTATATACAAGTACATCCTTGTGAACCCAAGTTTAGTGCCCATTAAACATAATAATTAAAAAACTTACATATCAAGAGTACAACTGCAGGGTATTGCCGATTCTGCCCTAGTTCCTCGCTATATCCAGTCAATACAATGACCCATTCAATAGGGTTTACGCGTAAACCATATCTGCAAAACCACAATAAAATATTTAACAATTGCAAATAACAATTTTGTGAATGTGTTTTTAAATAAATTTGTACAAAATAACACATATTTTGTACAAATTTATTTAAAAAGAAATAATATATAAATGTAAAATGTAATGATAAAAACTAGTTATAAAACTTATATTTGTCTGTGTCTAAGCTGAAGATACTATTTGAGTTTATACTAAAAGATTTTATGTCCTTGCATGTAAAAAAAAAAGTGAAAGAAAGCCTAGTGTAGTCAAATACCAGAACTAAAATTTGTATTACTTATAATTTATATTTGTATCATTTATAATTACCTTTGCCTATATGGAAAAAAATAAAAGAACAGACCTTTTAAATAAGATATATACAGAATTCTATCAATTCTATTACTTATTGTTATTTACACATAGATATATCATAATATTTAATGAAATGTACCCTCTGGTAGACCACCTGTACATTGTGTTTTCAATAAAAACTTACTTTAGAAGATTTTCAAGGAATAGCCGGAATCCTCCTATTGAAAGTAATAGGAAACCCCAGTTCACTAATCCTGTGAAATTTGTGAAGTTTGAACTCCATGAGAACAATGAGTCACGTGGCTTATGGCACCTATAAAAAAATATTTTATTAATTTATTTTTGTATAGCCAAGATTGTCCTAGATCAAGCATTTTTAGCTTAGATCACAGTAATAAAGCCTAAAATATCTTGTAAATAATAAAATATTTTAGGCTTTATTACTGTGATATAGACGAAACTGCTGCGAAATTGTTGAACTATTGCAAATGTAGGAATTAGTTTCCAAATTAAAATAAAAGTGGTCATTACACACCAGCCATTCTATCATATTTTTATTTTGCATTAATTTATTGTGCGTAATTGTCTACAAAATAAAATAAAAATGCCCTGCCATTAACTTTTGGAATGCACTTGCCATTAACCTCAGAAGATGTCAATCCAAATTCTCCTTTAAAAATAGAAATCAAATTATTATTATTCAGCCAAATTACTCTCTGAAGATATATTCCCTGAGACTATATGAACAGTAGAGAATGTCAGCACGCTTTAAGTGCATGCACAATTTTGTGTGCAATATAATAAGCACATAAATATGATATATATAGTATTTTATAATACATAAACCAAATCTGCACATCAACAATATAATAATTACAACAATAAAATTAATTTTGTTATTAATATTATTTTTTAACAATTTTGAGAATTTGTTGTGTTATTCTATATAAAGCAAAATTATTTAAAAATATATAATATATAAGTTAAAAAGATAATCATAAAAACTAGATGTTGAACCAATATTTATTCATTTTATAATTTTCTATTACATTTTTAAAAATTTTATGGTTAAATAAAAAATTACAAAATAAGAAGTATTGATTATACACCACGATGACAAACAGGAAAAAAAGTCTGTATTTTTTGTCTCTGAAATGTAGTTTTGTTTTATGAATTGTATAGTATAACTGCTGTTGTTTTTCTATTCATTTTTTTTCTAGGCACTACCAAACTACAATAAATATAAAATGCTGGGTTCATAATATCTATTTAATAAAAGATATTTTTAAAAATATATGCAATGTATTAATTATAGTTACATTATCAAGTTATTTTTATTAAGCTATTTACGTGAGGAATAAAGAGATTCTCACCATACATTATAGTAGGGTACTTTTATTATAGGATAAATTAGCTCTATTAAATTTAGGGACACATTAATTCAACAATAATAATTACTTACGGTTTATCATATTGCAGATTACGAACTCTTTTCTCCTGTTCCGTAATTTCTTCCGCTCTAGTAACACTTTGAGCTCTCCTATATCGCAAAGCAGTTTCTTCAGCTTCAGTAGTCATATTTTACATTTGTTATTCAAGGTGTAGGAACAAGGTATAATAATATTTATTTTTATGGTTTACACTAGCAATTAAAAATATTGAAATAAATTGCCGACTATCCAGGAACAGGTAAATTATTAAATGCAAATTGTTTAAAACAAATTAAATAATTATTTATAAATATAAATAGATATATGTAGTACCGCAAAACTTTATGAGAAAGAATGATAAATGATATGTCAAAGTCAAAGAAGGGTAACTTTCAGAAAATATAGGTTGCCAAATTGGAAATGTTTGTCTCCAAAGATCTAGAAGCCGTACCACAGACCGTATATAATTATATAAATTACTCTATGATACATTACTGATAAATTGACTGACATTAACAGTGACACCAATTATTTTATGCAAAGTCTATGAATTGACAATAGACATTTTTTTTTTTTCCCATATTCGTCCATCTCCTTTTCAGTGATGGAACAGGCAAAGATATAATTAGACCGTACAGCCTAGTCTACTTTTAAACTTCTTCATATTTGAACAAGTGATGAGGCCAAAGGCCAATTCTTATGTATATTTATTTATTATGTTTTCATTCGTGTTCAAAATTTAAGTCTTATCCGTAGTCCATATCCTTGTATCAATTATTTAAAGTTTCATCGATATCGAGGTAACGTATAAATATATAGGTATATATGTTTCAAAATTAGTTAGCATGTCTTGGATGTCGCGCGGGATTTTTTCCGGTTTCTTGTAAATGTTCAGTAAATTATCAATAAAGACCAAGCGTTGAATATTATAAGCGGAACATTCGAAAAATATGTGATTTAGGGTCTGACTGCTGTTATTGCACTCTTGACATGCATTTGAATCAATTATTTTCATTCGGCACAAATGACTATTGAATCTAGCGTGACCAAAACGAAGTCGTATAAGGAGTGTGTAAAATTTCCGGTTTTTATATTGACAATAGACATCAAATAGACATTGTCGTTCTGATTATTTTTTTCTTCTATTTTGTTACGGCCAATGTTGCCTCCTATGGCACTAAAATAAAATACACAGTGTACTCAACTAAGAAACTGTAACTATAGTTTTTGTTGTCACTAGTTTCAACCCTATCTTTAATAAAAAATTGTAAGTAAACGTAAAAAATTTACAATAGGTATAACTTATTATTAAAAACAGAATATTTCATTGGTATATAAATTAAGTCTCCTCTTATCATCCTCCGAGAATATTGTTAACACAGGCGACTACTCCATAATCACGTAATCCTCATAAATATTAATTAATGTCTGCCTGCCCTGCAACATGTAACAATGAAGGCCATCGTCGCCGAAGTTGCAAAGGAAAGTTGACGCGACCCTACTACTGCAGCTACGTTCCAGCACTGGCGTCTCGAAAGTACACCATGTGGTTTTATTAGATAAAAACTCCATACACCCCAACTGTCCTCCCTGTTACGAGTGGATAATATTTGGAACATTTTCCCCACTTAAAAAAATGGGTAAATCCTCCGTAATAGCACAGATATTTTATAGTCAATATTTGAAACTAATAACGAAAGGACGATTTTATATTATTTATCGTATAGTAGAACATTGTGTTATTTATTTATACACATTTAGATATAGTATTAAAAAACTAGGTAACACGAGTTGAAAGCAAAAGCAGTTCTTAGTTACAAACTGTAGCGGGAGTAAACGTAGTACTCGATGGTAGCTAGTTTCCGAAACTAGTTGCATTGAAGTACTTCCGTATCTATTTATTTTATCGACTAGTAGTGCTTTTGACTTTCGAGATAAGGTATTTTTACTTTTGTCAACGTAATGTGAGAGAACATAAAATGTCTATTAATTAATTAGATCCATAATATAGTACAAAATATAACGCTACAGAAAAATATTAACATGAAGATTTGGACATCAGAACATACATTCAAGTTAGTATGACGCAATCAAATCGTTTCCTTCATAGTTTTTGGGTAGAAAATTAAAACTTTTTTTATAACAGCCATCCATGGGAGACAGTTGCACAAGCAGCATGGAGAAAATATCCCAATCCTATGAACCCAGCTGTCATAGGCACTGATGTTGTAGAAAGAAAAGTGGTTGATGGTGTGCTGCACTCGCACAGACTAGTCAGTTCTAAATGGTATTTTCCGCGTTGGGCGCAGGCGGTAAGTCCAAATTCCATATCAAATATTATCTATAAGTTATATACAAAAAATGCTTCTATTTATATAATTTTATTCTGCATATATTTATTCTGAACTTACATTGCATGGTAATTAAAATGTAAATATTAGTGACATTATTTTTCAATTTCGAATTTCTACAAGATAATCTTACTAAAGTGACTGACTATGATGTATATAGAGCAAAAGGTGTGAAATTAAAAATTGTGATTCTTATACCTCAGATTATAATTATACTTTAAAATAACTTACTACTAACTAAAAATTATCTTCAGCACTGACAAAATATATTTTTCATTTACAGCTCATAGGAACTGCAAAAATTTGCTATGCAAGTGAGAAATCTGAAGTTAATCCTATACAGCGACAGATGACACTAAAGACCACTAATTTAACATTCTGTCATTACATAGCTGTGGATGAAACTGTTAAGTACACTCCACATCCTTCTGATCCATCAAAGACTCTCCTCACACAGGAAGCAGTAGTCACTGTACAAGTGAGTAAATATTAAATATATTTTTATACTATGTAGTTGGCAAACAAGCATACGGCCCATCTGTTGGTAGGAAGGATAAATTTTAAATGTTTTGGCAATAAATGTGTATATATAGTAAAACTTATTAGCACATAATTGAATAATAAGCAAATATACCAATTATATATCTATATACACCTTTTCATTTCGTGTATATAGTTGTCAAACCACAATTTATCAACAGTACATATTCACACAAATATTTTATAAACAAGTTTGCAATGTTATGATGGCAATTATATAGTTGTTGATCTACTTACTGAAATAAAATTATTTAAAATAAGTATATAATATAATTTTTATTTATTTCTGGTACCATTAAAGCATCACATATACAATGTGAATATGAACAATGGTTCAAGAATATAATGTACATAAATTCCCAATACTAAATTGAGCATGTTATAAATCTATTTCTATTTTTTTAATACAAACTTTGTCCTATATTAGACAAAGTTTGTATTAAAAAAAATATTATGAACAAGTCCCAGCATGAGAGAACCCTACAAATTGCTCAATAGTAAAAGATTTATAACATGCTCAATTTAGTATTATTAATTACTTCCATCTATAAATATTATTGCTCAAACATTTAATTTATTAACAGTCCATTGTTTAGCCTATCTATATAAGAGAAATTTGATTTCTAATGCTGACTGTGATTCTGTAAATTTCTGTCTGTGTTTGTACCTGTGACATTTGTTTATTTTACAACGAGGAATAACAGCATTCTAGCTTCTAAAATTTCAAATTTCTGTAGAAAATTTCTTCTCCTATTTTATTTTACCTCCTTTAGGGAAACTTTTTACAAAGTTTAAAAAATCATATCTATTAAATTTAATCTATAGCTTAAAAAATCAAAAGAAAATTTTTTCTAGCTTCTTACTTTAAAAATTATACTTGCGTCCAACATTTAACTCACCTTTAAACCTTCCACAGCCTTTTTTCTTCACATTAAAAAGTAATCTATGTACTTTCTCAAGGTCTACACTATCTGTGTACCACAATTAATTTAAATCGGTTCAGTAGTTTTGGCGTGAAAGTGCGACAGTCAGACGGAGTTACTTTCGCATTTATAATATTAGTAAGGCTATCCTGAATAACATATGATAATATGCACTTTGCACTCTTTGTATTAGTAGATATAGATAATAGATATCTCATAAGTCCAAACATATAAGCTAAACATTGTAGTTGAAGGTCATCTTTTGTTCATATTTATAAACCAGTCTCTTTATCAGATTTAGTGCCAATATTTCCTATCAAACATTCATATAACTCTTTATATTTTACAAATACAATATGTTATATATACATATTATGTATATTTACAAACATTTGGTTTTTATTTTATTATCAGACATAATTTAAATAATTAGCATCTGAAACAGGCTGTTAAATTAATTAGGGATATTTTTTAAGTGTGCCCAGTGGCAATAAAAATATGTATAATGACAGTAATTGGGACATCATTATAATAATGTATATTTGCTCATAATTATGAGCAATCTAAAAGCCTTTGGTTCTCTTTGATCTTAGTTAGTATTCATCACCCTATTTCAGTATGGATGTGAGATTATTTTCATATAGTGTTTAATATTGTTGTTATTGAAGATTTCAATTTGTATTTTCCTTACTTCAGGGTGTACCACTCAGCAGTTACATGGAGGATTTATTAACAAACAAAATTTCATTAAATGCTGGAAAAGGACGACAAGCTATAGAGTGGGTCATCGGTAAAATAGATTCTGAAATAAAGGAACTTGCAAGCACAGCAGCTAAAAGTACAGATGAGCTGTTGTCACATACAAAGAAATCTCTGGATGATATAACATCGACTGCTAGGAGATCAATGGATGACATATCATCTAAAGCAAAGAGATCACTTGATGATATAGAAAAATTCACAAAAGCTAATGCTAATCAACGGAGCTGAAAAGAGGATTGACTCCTGCAATTCTTAGTTTCAATTGAATATATATTGTGTATATTACAGCATGGACTGGCACTAAAGCACCAGATTTGTGTTAAATGTAATTAATGCTGAGCAATGTAAATAGTATAATGATAGTATTACAAGAAAATATCTGTTTTATTTTCTTTATTACTGCAGTCAAATATTAAATTTGTCAAACATTATAACAGGAGGTAATATAAATTTGAGAATTAGACAGTAATGTGGTTTTTAAATTTATTTATAAAATACAAATCTACCTACATTGGCTTCTGTATATGTATAACATTCTAATGTACATATTTAGAAGCAGTTAATTTATTTTTATATAATTTTAATCATAACCTCTTTACACTATAAAATATTAAAATAGACTGGTACTACTCATTGCTCATGATGTTAATATTTCGAAGTTTTTTTATAAATTACCTCTAAATTTTACCTTTTTGTAAATAAATGTACAGTATATATAAAAAATATAAACAAAAAAATATTGTGGTATTTGCAGTAACTATTCCATGGTGTCATTGAATGAAAACTTGGGAGTTTTAAATGTTTTATATTTGTTCATAATACCAAATGATTTCTTTACAATCTATTATTTTAGAAATATTATTATCATGTATACAGATGGAAAGAAAAGATTGATATAATTGTATGTAGTAAAAACATATTACAACTGGTTTTCAAATTGTTAGAGCCTTATGACATTGTACCTGCCTCATATTTAGATAAATATCACTAAAAATGACATGTTAAATAAGGTAATTTATAAAGAGAAATATTTGTATTTATCTATTTGTGTTTGTTTACAATAAATTTCTGTTCAAATTTTGTGTTTTAATACACAAACTTTAACATTATGCAATTCAGGCCGCAGCTCTCCTCATGCAAAGTCTAATTCTTATCACCTTATATACCTATATCAATAGATAAAAACCTATTTATAAAAATAATAAGCAATTGTTTGTCGGCCAAAAGATTGCCCACTACTGATAAATTATTGGCTTTAATAAATAGGTTTGGAACAGTATTTATCTATACAAACTACATAATAAATTTGACTGATACAATGGAAATATATACAAAATTTTGCAGTGCACCTTAGCAAAAGATTATTTGTTTCACAAAGAAATATTACTTTATATACTATATTTAAATATTATTAGTTTAGTTTCCTTAACATTATCATTAGGTTCTGGCTTAACACATACATTAGAACCTCATATTATTATTAGAATAATCAATTACAATCATCCCCTTGCTTGATGCAGGTCTGCTTATAAAAGATTGATTTAGCCTACTTAACATACAGGTTGTGCTATTTGGCACAGGATTTAAATTTGAATTTCCCTCACAGGCCAAAATGTTTTAAGTTGTTATTCATAACCAACATAAATTAATAAAATTTATACAAACACTGATTATGAATAATTTATAATGTTGTTACTATATTTATCATACAGTATTGTGATATTCATTAATCAAGTAATTATTCGATACAAAACCAATTCATATAACAGGTTCATTCAAAGAATATTAGAAATACTAACCATAGGACAATTTCTAAAATACTAAACAGTTTTTAATTGGTGACATATGGCCAAGCAGATGGTGACAATACTGTTATAAATTTAGAAAATGGCTAATAGCTAGCCAATGCAACTTTTTTAATTTTGTATTTGTGTTTATATTTCTATAATAGTAGGTGTCTATTTACAAAATTACCTACTTAATACTAGTACTACTAAATGATAATGTGTGGTAAATAACCTAGAGGTTATTTATATTATCTATTTTCTATTTAGATTGAGGTACTGGCAGCACTATTTTCATCTAGCATGTAAGTGTACTAAATTTAACTTTTAAATTATAATTCTGTACCACACAATGTATATTAATTAACTTTTGAGAATTATAAATTCATTCAAATGAATTACACAAGCATTGAAGCTCTATTCTAAATATAAATTTCAAAAATATCATGTACTCGTACCAGATGAAGTCATGTTACCATTATGAACACCCCCTTGTGTAGATCTATTTGCAGCAGCTAAATGAGATGCTTTCAGACGGTCCAGTTCATTTACCCATGACCGCACATGCTCAAGTCTATGCCAGGCCATCTGTAATACCTTCTGTGATGCATATCCTGATCCTTCATGAGGCTGACCAGTAGAAACTTGTGTAAGATAGTTTATTTGATCACTCAGTTTAGATTCAACCTGATTGAGAGTTCGTAGAAACTGTGATGTATTCGTTTCAGCTTGCTTTTGCCCCGACTTCTCTTTACTTAGTTCTAGCAGTGCTTGAGCTGTAAAGGAAAATAAGTATAAGCTAATGTCTTAATAAAATCCTCAAACAATATTATGAGCGGCTTTTTTACCTGCACATTGTAAACACGTTATTATATCTTTTTCTATTTCATCGAGAACTTGAATTCTTTCCATGGGACCACCCATAATTACAAAGGTATAATTCAATTCTTTGTAAGTATATTTAAATAATTCGAAAGTACTTAATAATTATAAATTTCTTCGACAATGACAGATCAGAGAGACCTGTCTTTTACCATCGAGTATATAGACGGATGGATTCAATGGATATTTATAATTAACCATAGTCCATCTCATCAGTGAAACACATATCATAGTAGTATATTTTATCCGCAAGTGGATAGGCAAAGGTACGAGACCATACAGCCTAATCTTCAGTACAGGCGGGCTTGGTAGAGATGGTTATTTAATCGATTATAGAAAAATCAATTTCTAATGTGAATTTCATGTTAATTAGCGATATGCTAATTAACAAAAGAGTCGATTAAATAATAATAGATTTTTTATTGTTTTATTATATACATCTGTACGGCTTGGTGGCACTTACGGCAACAGATTATTTAGACCATGTGAGAATTTTTTATGATTAATAAAATAGTGCTCCCTCCTGTGCTAATGGTATACGCTGGCTCTTTAGCCTATCTGTCATGACGAATTGATACTTTTTAAGTAATGGAATACTAGTCCTTAACATATAATATAACATCCCTGCACACCCGATTGCTGTTTTGCATGTGCTAGAAATAACTGGATAACGCATAAACGTACAACATAAAATATTGGGTAATTGGAGTTTTTAGATCACATTATTAATAAATAAAATAATATTGAATTTGATATAATATTATTGGTATAAAAACATATTATAATAACATCAAAATATAGTTTTATACTTTCAGACAAATTTAACCTTTATTGAAGCACAAAAAACTTATAAAGCATAGACAAATAGCACTTTTGGCTATGCTTTATAACGTGAATTTAAATCTGGTCACACTGTCCGTCTGACTAGATCGGCCATTTCCTCTTTCGTTCTCCACCCTGTGACATGGTACGTTCTTAAAAAAGTTTAATCAATATTTAATTTTATAATCTGAATATTTTTCAATAAATCTCGTTAATTATAATGCTTATATTATTTCTGATTAATTATTCGTATTTATATTTACGTTTTTACTGCAAATGATGATTTCTCTATATCAATATTTACACGGTTAGAACCTGAATACATGTGAAGATTTATCTAGGGCGGACTGATGCTTTTTTGGAATAAAAATCTATTTCAAAGGCTATATTTCACTGTTTAATTTCCATTACCTTTCCATTTCCAGTCGCACAGGAAATTTTCAGCACCTCGCCATGGGTCGATGGGATTCTATCCCAAGAAGAGGTCCCGTCGTCATCGTGGTAAAGTGAAGGCTTTTCCTAAAGACGATGCCAGCAAACCGGTACATCTTACCGCCTTCATAGGTTACAAGGCTGGTATGACCCACGTGGTTCGGGAACCAGATCGTCCTGGTTCAAGTAAGTAAACCTAACCTATACTTGATAAATATTTAAAGTATGTATATTTCCTCAATAACATATGAAATGTTAGTGTGAAAAAGTATTTATATTTGCCTCATTTTAGTACGGATTAGGGGAATGGGGTTATATGGGACTTATTACGGTCTATTTAGAATATAAACTTACCTTACAATTACCTTACTTATGGTGTATTTAACAAATAATACTTATCTCAAATTGATTAATTTGAGATTCATCTCAGCCTGGAAGCCTGGACAAAGGCACTCCCCCAAAGATCTCAATTTAATATTATTTTCTAATTACGATTTTTTATTTACTTATTATATGCATGCTGAACCTACTAGAATCCATGAATAGTAGTTAAGTTAGAATGTTTTTTAATTTTTTACTTTAGAAATCAACAAGAAGGAGATTGTAGAGGCTGTGACCATTATTGAAACCCCACCCATGGTGTGTGTGGGTGTAGTTGGTTATATTGACACACCTCATGGTCTCCGAGCTTTGCTAACAGTTTGGGCCGAGCACATGTCAGATGATTGTCGCCGTCGTTTTTACAAGAACTGGTAAGATTTATCCAATCCATCTTAAAAAACAATTTATAGTTCTATTTATTTTCAACCAAAAATTTACTACATAGAAGTATCCAGTATTTTATCCTATACAACTGTTTTTGTTAATTAAATCTTATTTGTTCAGTATTTGCTCATATACTCTAATAACTATAATTTTGTTGTTGAGATTTTATTTATTAAAATTAGAAAACATTTATTTCTTATCATTGTTGAATGAAACTATTCAATCTTTCATTATTATTATTATACTCTATTACTAATTTTTAAAACTAACTCTCCAATCAGCAGATGAGAGTTGACTCAAAACATGTGTAGAGCATGTTTGTTACCAAATTGTCTCCGCTCAACGATGAGGCTCTTTGGTTTCTCTTACAGCAGGTGCTTTTATAATGTAATAGGTACAAATGTAAGAAGAAGGCATTCACGAAGGCCAGCAAGAAGTGGCAGGATGAGCTCGGACAAAAGTCTATTGAAAAAGACTTTAAGAAGATGATACGCTACTGCAGTGTAGTCAGAATCATTGCTCACACTCAGATGAAGTTGTTGAAACAACGCCAAAAGAAAGCACATATTATGGAGATTCAGCTCAATGGAGGATCTATTGAGGATAAAGTGAAATGGGCTAGAGAACACTTGGAGAAACCCATCCCTGTGGACTCTGTTTTCACTCAAGATGAGATGATTGACTGCATTGGTGTCACTAAGGGGAAAGGCTACAAAGGTACTAAAGAACATTTACCTTAAAAACTTACTCAATAATACCTTTAATTATATAATTAGTTTTAGTTAATTAATTAATTATAATAAATTTCTTAACTTAAAATAATCTATGATCCATTATTTAAAGTATATTTGAAATGATGAACAATTCTTTTCAATTTGGTATGATAATTTCAGTGAATATGTTTAATGGACTATATATTCTAACTAATACTATACTACTATTATTATTTTAGTATTAATATAATAGAGATGCAAATTTTTTTTTATAATAATGTAGGTACTATATTTTGTGCTATCTGTTTTACAGGTGTGACCTCGCGTTGGCACACTAAGAAGCTTCCACGCAAGACTCACAAAGGTCTCCGTAAGGTTGCTTGTATTGGAGCATGGCATCCTTCTAGAGTGTCATTTACTGTAGCCCGTGCTGGTCAAAAGGGCTACCACCATCGTACTGAGATGAACAAGAAAATCTACCGTATTGGACAAGGTATATTTTTAGGACTTGTTATGTAGATAGAGCAAAATGATGGCTGATAGGGATCAATGGAAAAATATATCATACTGTGTCACCCCAAAATAATGGGATAAATGCAAAAATGAAATCAGAACTACATATAACTTAGTTTTTTCTAAATAGTAAAAAGCAACAGCATTATTTTATCACTTGCTGTTTATACTAAGGCATCATCATTACTCTGTTTTTCTACAAAAAATATATAATATTACCACTAGTTTCTCCCTTAATGTGGTCTGTTCAAACAATAAATTTTATGTAATAGGATAAGTGGTTATTTTATTACCCTTCCCATAGCTGGAGTGACTAGAAATTAAAAATTCATATAGTATTAATGTAAATATGTATTTATTCATCATTTTATGTTTGCTATAGGAATCCACACTAAGGATGGAAAGGTCATCAAGAACAATGCATCCACTGAATATGATTTGTCTGAAAAATCCATCACTCCAATGGGTGGTTTCCCCCATTATGGTGAAGTAAACAATGACTTTGTGATGATAAAAGGCTGTTGCATGGGACCGAAGAAGAGGGTTATCACTTTGAGAAAGGTAATAAACAATCTGAAATAGCTTCTGATGGTGTAAAATTTAAAAAAAATATATAATTCAATATATCCATCCTTACCTTACATATTTCTTAAATATCTTATATAATTACAGTCTCTGCGAGTACACACAAAGAGAGCAGCTCTTGAGAAGATTAATCTCAAGTTCATTGATACATCATCTAAGTTTGGACATGGTCGCTTCCAAACGCCTGCTGATAAGGCTGCTTTCATGGGCACGCTCAAAAAAGATCGTATTCGGGAGGAAGCCGCAGCTGCACCCGCGCCTACAACTGCAGCACAGTCCTAAATATTTTGGACTATAAATAAAATCATTTGAAATATATTATTATATTGACTTTTGATATTGCGCCCTCTAAAGCATATTCAACGAGAACCTACCTCAATTAAATTAAATGGTGAAAATATAGAATGAAAGATATTCTATAAAATATGAAAATAAATGAGTCTTGGGTCAGTTGCAATTTATTTTCACAAGTTAACCCTCAAAAGTGAGTTCCAATATAACTGACGTCGCAAAATAAATGGACATTTACTATTTCTATATAGCAAAGTGAATGCTTACGCGTTATAGTAGTAGTTACTTGTTAAAATTTGCATTATCATCAATCATGTACATTTATAGTCACAGACTGACGTTTATTACATCATGATCAAAAGTAACATCTACCTATTATAAAATATGGGAACATGGTAACTCATTGTAGAAACGCACCAGAATACGCAATGATGTTCCTGCTGTGTGGATGGCAGACTACTATTACCCATGAAACTGGCGCCCACAAGAGCCTGCGTATTCCGATGCGTTTCTCCCTCTTCACGTAACTTTATATGCGTTATAGGGCACACAAGGTAATTTATTAATTTTTGTGTCAATCCCCATCACTAACGCTTTTAATGAATAAACTATAAATAAGGAAATTATTGACTTCTAAGTCAAATACTATAGTATATATTCATCAATAATACCTACAGCTATTAACGGCATAGCATAATTTACGCAACCTATCTTTGGATCAAATTTCATGAACTTTATAGTTTCTCCATCCTGAAATAAACACAAAAATGGGAAGACGCATCTTGCTTTATTGCTGCTAAAGAATAAATTAATTTTACCGGAGAATGTTAAATTTCTTACAATTATAAGGAAATCATACCAGCCCTTATGGAAGTTAACGTAGATATGATGAAGCCTACTTTTCTGGATGATAATGAAACTGTACATCCACCTGCACTAACGGTTTACGCTGGCAGAGCACCGGTGGAGGACGATATGATGAGTTAAGAAAAGATAAAGGTTTCCAGGGAGAACCGTGTGGAGGTCAACCTGACATGATACATTGTTAGCTTTGAGGTCATTTAGTCCACATTGCTAATAATTCCCTTCTCCCTTGCAGAAAAATTAATTAAACGTAAAAAGTAACATTAATTCTTCTGAAATGAATATTTGTTTTTAATGAATTTTACAGAGCACTCCTTATAGCTGTGTAAAATTAATTAAAATACTGAAACATAGTTTAGGAAATAGTAGGTTAAAAAATGTAGTGACAAACACTGAATAACTATGCTTTATGTCCGCCGGAGTTGTGGTGATAATGCAAATGAGATTCAGACAATGGTTTAAAGGTCTGTGGTTTTTAATGGATAAGAATGCTACAGACATCTGACGGGTGGAGTAAGGAAAATTTCCCACGTAAAAAGTAATAAAGAGTTTACTGTTCTTGCAACTTTCAAACGATTCATGCACAATCAGACCTTATTTTAAGATTTTAGAATGGTTAAGAACAGTGGTCATTATATATAGGTATGTAGATTATTATAACTGTACTAGACAACTGATACAAATACATTTTTTTTTGTAAATATTTAATAATAACCGTACTTATTAAGACAACTGATACAAATACATTTTTTTTTTGTAAATATACAAAGAATCAAAATTAATACATCCAGGTACTGAGACAATTTTATCATTATTAATAAAATGTTTGTAACAAAATAATCATTTTTATAACATATCTAATACATTGCAAAACTCAGTGGTGTGCCTTTACAGTAGTTTTTGAAGAGGTCGTAATTTGGTTTCTTGTTATTATTTTTAAGTTTATAGGTAATTTATTTAACAAAAGACGGAAATCAAAATTAATATTATCCAGGTACTGAGACATGGTTTTATCATTAATCTTTAATAAACATAGTTATCAATTAACAAAATAATCATTTTTTATAACATATCTAATACATTGCAGAACTACATTACGTTCATGTTGCATTTCTTTACTAAGTAGTTTTTGAAGAAGGGTTGACGGTAGTTTTGGTTTCTTGTTATTATACTTGTTATAATTAGTTTCATGAGCACCCATTTTTCTTTTAGGTAATGTTTTATTATTAATGGATTGAGTCTGATTAGTGTCTGTTTCAATATTATTGACACTCTTATCAATTTTTACTTCTTCTGGGCCACTGTCACAATCACTCTTATTGTTGTCTTCGATCATATTATTAGCATTTGGAACACTTATATTGTTTTTGTTTATTGCATATTCAATTTCCAGTTTCTTCTTTTCTAACATTTTTCCATTATCTCTTGTTACACAAGATTCTTTTTTTACTAGATCTGTTTTTGTTTCTTCATCAGAGGACTCATAACTGCACATTAAAGTTGATAGGGCACTGCAAACTATGGGTTGTTTATCATCAGTAACATCTTTATTTTTATTAGAATATTCTACTTCATCATCTACTGAGAAATTGCTGTCTGAGTCTTCTGTCTCTTCATTTGTATCACTATTCTCTGTCAAATCTTGTATTCCTTTAAATGGTTTAAGCTTTCTTTCATTGTTGGAAATCGACAACAAATTATCTTTAGTTATTTTTTTATTAATATGTTTAGATGTTATTACTGGTTGCACTCCCATTTGATCCTTTGAAAAACTTTGTGGAAGGTTTTGTCTATGTCTTGAGTTATTATTATAACTGTAATCATGTTTCCTTTTTGTATCTGTAATCAAGTATTATATTAACATAAATCATGTTGTTAAAAATATGTTAATTTCACCAATAATTGATTAAAATTATTAGGTGACTTATGAAACAGTTTCTTACAAAGTAGTTATTCTAATAAATTGTAATTGTAAAAAAAGATATAAATGTTAGTAATACATATTTATTATTTTTATATTAAAACTCTAACAATATTTTATAATCAGAAGTTGTTACTTTGTCTTTTTTGGATATTTGTTAGATAGGACAAATAAATCACCAAATTTTATATAATGTATGAAATATAAAATGTAAAAATGAATTACATAAAAAAATTGTTACCTGGTTGTTTGTAATTATTATGTAATTTGTAATTCTTTTGTAAACCCATTTTTTCGCCTCTTTCAATCTTTTCCTTTATTTGAGCTGTTTTTTTCTCAATATTATTCAAAGTGGGATATTTCTTTTTTCTTTCCTCTATCCATTTTTTTATTTCTTCTGGATTGTTAACATTTGCAATTTTTTTGTATAATCCAGATGAATGTTGCATTTGTATATGTTTTGTAATAACATTAGGGTGTGCAACAAACTGGCAGCCATCAATATTACATTTCTAAAAAAGAATAATTATGAGTTATGTATATATTGATAACTATTTTACAAGTTTCAGTGAACAGCTAACATTTTTTTATGTCATCAAAATGAAAATATAATAGGAATCATTAAGTTTTACCCTTGAGCATATATCATAAATATACTTCAGTCAGTTTTTCATCACAAAGTCTAATCAGTGAGTGAATCTTGCCAAATTCATCTGGAATTTATCACCAGGGGTCCTGGGTGCAATCTGACATAGTATACTGCTAGAAATGGCTTCAGTAGGCATTACTAATAATATTTCCCCCTCTATAGTTGGATTTGGATAATGACATTTAAAGGACATTAGAAGCATTTCAGTATTCAAAAATAATTTAATGTTCTTTTATGAATTGTACTTATATTGAAACACTATTGGGCTATGAATGATTATTATATGTGTGTAGTTACCTCATGTTGCTTTTTATGTTTTTCTAATAAGTCAGCATTATTAAAATTTCGGTCACATGTTTCACACCAGTGTTCATCAGATATTTCAGCAGCTTTTTGCATATATTTATTTCTTCCTGAGTAATTTGTCTTAAATCCTGAATTTGGTCTCCATTGAGGGTTTCTATATTCTCTTTGGTTGGTTTTAGCCATGGATGGATGATATGAATATACCATTATATTTGAAGTTCTGTAAATTACATATAAGACATAAATATTAATTTTATTTATATTTAGGATATTATGTCAATGGAACACGTTCTTGAGAATGTCATAGTCAGCAGAGGCTAAGGCTAGGCTGACTAGAAAGATAAAATTAAATGTAAAGACAGCAGAATATTTTTGAATTGTTTTGTACCTTTTTGGCGTGATTTACAATTAAAAGACTTTTATATGATATATGATGCTTTTGATCTGGTTTGCGTGTTTTTCTTTTCCTCCAAATGTATGTAACATTAAAGAACGTGTGAAACGCTGTGGTTGGTAGCAGTTCTTTCCACGAGGACTTTAAAGAATGGCTGGGTAAGTACTTAGTTATAAGTTTGAAACTCAAGTTTTTAATGTTATAGTTTCACATGAAAAAGTATACCGATAATTGAATTATAATATTAAGAAGTAGATGTAAGAATATATGTTTTTGGAGACTAAATTCAACTTGATAGATATCACAAGTATAAATAATATTAATATTTACCACAGAACACCAATAATATTAACCGTACAAATGTCAAATTTCCAAATAATGTTACCAGCTGGACCTGCGATAGTGATTTTTCTTAATCGTAATTTTTTATTTTAGAGGATGTGTTATAAAGCTGTTTACAACATACTACAATATTTTTCAAATTTATATCTTTCCATACAATAGTGTTTCTATTATTGTCTTGATATTTTAATGGAATAATGTTTCAGGTGGACGGAGCGATTTTTTCTTATAAATTTGTTCGAAATGTTTCTAAGGGTTAGGGTACTAACATATAAAATACCACTCAACTATGTAAGTCCTAAATATGTAACATAGATGAGATAGTATTTTTGTAACATAGTTTTCATTTCTAAATTATATCATGAATAATTTCCATTCCAACATCAATATCTGGAAGCTTACTAGGAGTTCCTTATAGCAAATCTTAAACAGAACTGGCCTGCTAAACTACTACTACGAGCTGAAGGCCGAAGCGAGAAGGCCTTTTACACGATTAATTTGTAAACAATTTTCTTAAAATTTGTCATTGGCAAATGTACAAATATCCAAACCACTAACAAAAGAGAAAAAACGTTTTGTGTTAATAATTGATTTCTTTTATGTATGTTTTGAATGTCTAAATTGTAAGAATTTTGAAACAATTGCTTGCTTTGTTTGTATTTATCTATAAATTTTAATAATATAATTTTATACTTCGTATTTATTCAATTTTAGGTAGATATTCGTTCCTATCTCTTAATTTTTTAATTATCAGTATAATATAATATTTCTATATAATGTACATTTGGTGTTATAGTATTTTGCTTCACATTTCATATTCAGAAATATATTAATTTTAACTTCATATCTTGGTCTCAGTTTGTTGACCATTCAACAAACTGAGACCAAGACTCTTTTATATGTACTAATGAAATTATCAATATATGTAAATAAAGAAATATTTTGATTTTACAGGTGCCTGTTATTATTATGTTCTTCGGATAAAATAAGAGTCTGATCTCTTAGTTTAAAATATTAAAGACTGAAAAATTAACACCATGAATAATTCAGCGGCAAAGGTAACTTATATTTAAAAAAGTTAAATGGTTTAATTTTGTTCTATTATGAATATTTTCTTAATGGATCATAATGCAATGGTGCATCCGCTTTCTCTGACGGTTTACTCTAGCAGGACACTGGAGAGTGATGAGGTGACCATAAGGTCACGTCAGTTAGATAAGAATTTTAATTTGTCTACTCATCATGGTAAATTTGCCTAGAATTTATCACATGCTTCTAGGGGGAACTGCATGGAAGTCTACCTGACATGATACATTTCTAGCAATGGGTTTATTATTGTGAATTACTAATAAACCATCTTCCCCTATACTGCTTTTACATAAAAAATTTGCACAGGTTGGAGAAATATTTACTGAAGCTGGAGCAGCTTTCAATAAATTAGCCGAAATGACTATGATGTTACACCCGATAGCAGAGTCAACAACAACCAGGTAATTATTGTAGGCAATGCCTATAATTATAATTTATATATATAAAATTTAGTCATTCCTTACTCCTATAAGATTGAATTGTGATAGTATGCTAAATCTATACATATAAATAAAATTGGAGTGTCTGTTTGTCATATTGAAATAACCATTTTTTACTACATGCATATGAATATAAATACGAAACATACACCAAGATAACATTTTTTTAAAGTTTTGTCTGTTTGTTCCGGCTAATTTCTAAATTGGCTGGACCAAATTACAGAGGAATAAAATGCAGATTATATTTCAAGTTATATTTATTAATAACATCAAATCTTCATATTTACAGTTCACAGTCAAAGACACCATTAAAAAGGAAAGCTGAAGAACGTATACCACCACAGAGCTCAAGTCCTCCCCCATCTGGTCCAACTCAACATAATTTGCATACACCACCAATTTCACAACAGGTCAATAATTTATATCAGTATTATAGTTTTAATAAAAATGTTTTACAATGAGTAATTGATATGATACATGACTATAATAATACAATTGCATAGTATGTGGACATGTTTGAATGAGTCATGTATTGTAATATATGTCAATTGTGGGTTTTCTTAGGGTAGTAAATTTTATGAAAAGAATACATGTACTTATCTTTTCTTATAATCAATTTTTCTTATAAATATCTTTGAAATCTGCATTCAAAAATTGACTCTAATAATGCCTTGGTATATCCTATTTATATTTTTCTTATGTATTTTAAGATTATTTATAAATTTAATCTCTACAAGTACACATAGCCATATCCTCTCCACTGTTAATCTGTCTTTGTCTTTAAATTCTGCTTGATTCTTGTGAAAAGTTGTGTGTACATAAACCCATATATTTATAATATAATCATTATGTTATTTGTAAAGATTATTTTGAGAAAAACATTATAAATCTGAAATTGTATATTTTCATACATTGTTTGTTAGCATAGTTCTGTTATCTGTAAGAACAATCTTATACTGTTGTATAATATCTCAATTAAAATTTGTGTCCTTGTACATTTAATATTTTACATATTTCAAAGAAAATAAATTATTTTTAAGTCTTGGAAATATTTTAAATTCTATTTGTACATTTTTTTTAATTTATGAGGGAATTAAAAATTCAGAATTTTAAACATTATAAATCTGAAATTGTATTTGTACAAAACAGAAAATACAAAACAGAAAATACAAAGTTTTTATTTGTATAACTACATCATTATTCCTTTAACATAAACAAAATAAAGCTATGTTCATTTTGTATAAGTTTGGATATTATATTTAATATTTGACTTGATTGCTGTGTGAATAAGAAAAAAGTTATGATGTTATTTTTATTTATTTTTCAGGTAACACTTAACATGTTGAATGCCCAGGAAGCAGAAATGGATGTTGGACTTGGCAATGATGTTAAATTAGAATTTGAATCCAGTACCGATGAAGTCACTACATAGTAAATATTGGTGCATTATATAACTTTTTTCACTTTATTTGTATCTCAACTTAGACCTTTGATTACATAATTGTTCAGACAATGTTTTTTTAAACACTTAGACAAAAACATACCAATTTTATAATACTATTATTGCTGTATGTGAATATATGTTGACACATATACATTATTACTTAAGTATGTTTATGTCAAATTTATGTTTGTTTATGAAAATATGTTTCAAACAAAAATCAACATCTTATTCCTATATTGTAATAATGAAGTCTGTGGTTTGTTATCAGCATTTCTATTACTGGAGGGTTAGTTATAAAATTTGTTTCATAAACAATATGTTTCTGTTGTAGGTTAAATTATTAAATGTTTGTTCATTAAAATGGTCATTTACTATTTAAATTGTATATGGATCACAGTATAATAATACATACTGACTATAGAATGTTAGCTGTTTGATGCCTACAATTTTGTTTAAGAGCAGCCATTGCCTATGTCATGAACAAATTTCACTTAGGTCTATTCAAAAATGACACCCAATTATAAGTATAGACATAAAAAAAATTACAATCAGTAAATTTAATATATTGGCTTGTCATTCATAATTAGTCTTTTTTACCTAGATTTATATATAACAATATAATATTATTATTTTCTTGAAATATAAAATGAAACATAACCATGTACTTACTTGTTTTCTTGAGTCCACAATATTTATTTAATAATTTAGTATACATTAGGTAATTATATTTACATATTCCTAATAAACTTTATAAAAACTGATATACCTATAAGTATATAATGTTAAAATATTTTCTAGGTAAATCATTATCTATCAATTTGGAAACTTTTGATTTTTCTATTCCATGAGGAATTAATAGATTCATAGACTTTTTTATAATGATCATCAATAAAAAATTGTTCAATCGTTGATTCCACATCAGATCTTATTCTTAACTCATTATATAAAGGAAAGCTGCCACCAGATTTCTTTACACGTCTCTGTGCATTTCTATAGCAACTCCACGGTTGTGGTTCAATGATAATTAATTTGGAGAGCTTTTTTAAAAAACCTAGAAACTTCTTTAAGCCTTCATCACCATTATTAATGTGTATCCACATTGTGACTGAGAAACAAAATGTTATGTCAAATGTTTTTCTTTTATGATAGTCTAAAAACTTCTCTATGATTTGAAATTCTTTTTCATTCATCACATCTAGAGGAGCAAATGTTATATTGGAATTGCAATTAGTCTCATTAGCTCTTTGTATTAAATTGTTATCAATATCAATACCTAGCATATATATCTTATTTGTGTAAACAGTTTCTAGATATGTACAAAGTTCTTGTGTAAGTTCACCTGTGTTACATCCAATATCCAGACATAGTAGTGGTTCATTAAAGGATTGTGTTGGGAACATATCCGGGTGAAGGTTCTCGATTCTCTGTTTAGCACTATGGAAGGAATAGTAGTTGATGAAGTTTCCAAATTTTACGGCACCTGGGTCAGTGCCCATAAAATTAAGTTCGTCCTCTTTCGGCATTTTCAAAGTCCCTCGTGAATGATATATACGTCAGTAGATTGCTTTTAATAAACTTAAAGGTGGGCCGAGTTATAGATGTAATTTTATGATAATGACCATATCACAGGTGAAGACTTTTTAGTGAAATGATAAGTGACAAAAACATAATATTTATTTAAAAATTTTGTTTCTACTCATATTGTTTTTTCAACGTCTGGAATTAGAAAGTAGTGATGACTAAACGAACATTTTCAAAATATTGTAACAATATTTTTAAAGCATGAGTACAATCGCAAAATACAACACTTTCCTTGAGTAGTAATTACTGATTCTTGATTTTCACAATTTAAGTATTCACGTGTCTTCTGTTACCAATCTGTCATAAGATGACAGTCTGACATTGACAATCTTTGACATCTAACGGCTATGGCTACCTTTAGGGGCTATGTATGATGGGCCGCTATTATCATCATTACTCCTAGCATAAAATCGCTACCGCTGTCTGTCCCTTTATGCTTAAATATTTTAAAACTACGTAACGGGTTTTTTTAAATAAATAGAGTGATTCTAGCGGAAGGTTTATATATATTTGCGGCTAAGATGGCGCCGCTATTATTTGTGTTGGTGTTTGTAATGTAGCAGCAGCAGGAAAGGAGATGAAGTGATAAGTCCAGTGATTGCTATTTACAGTATATATATATTAACAAAATATTTACAATTGATATAGGTATGTATAAGAAGGTGATTCGGTCTCGAATGACAAGCTTGTTATTCTTCTTGCCCCATTGTAACTAGGCAACGGTGTTGCCGCACGATGATAGCAGGTAGATTCGCCACATATATAATACATGTACACCCCTGCGCAGCCGGGGCGAGTAGCCAGTTTATGTATATAGAGTGTTTTCTGTAGCAGCAGCACCAGGAAGAGGGAGGTGAAGAGAATGAGACCGTTGTGGCTATGTAGATACATATTCACAATGAATATGTATATAAGCAAGCGATTTGGTCTGAATGACAGGTTTGTTTTTTTTTCTTGCGGTATGGCATTCACCCCAATTTTAGGGTATTTCGCTAAAAACAAAACGGGGAAACGTCATTAATTTATATCTAGCAACGAAAATTTTGTAGAATAGGGATAAGGATTAGGTTAAGAAATTATATAGAATATGATATTTACAAATAATATATATACAATACGGAACAAATTACATTAAATTTTAATACTATTTAAATATATAAATTCAGTTAAAAAAATATAAATAATAGGATTATCCGCGGAAAGAAGAAGGTGAAAGGAAAAAAAAAACCTATAAATTTAATATATCATCAAATAGAACTCTGCGTTATGATCTGGTAACCGATGGTTTTGCGATTGTAGCAGGTTGATTGTATGAAGTGGTGGCGAATTGAGATGAGCGGAAATGATGAAGAAGTGAAAGGAATAGAGGAAGGGTGGATGGTAGTGAGGGTTCGTGTAAAAGCTGAGCAGGACTCATGCATCCCGGTTGACCTCCATTTTGATCTTCTAGATGAAGTGGAAGGAACGAAAGATGAAACTATGGACCGTAGTGAGGGCTCATGTAGAAGATGAGCAGGAATCAAAATATCCCATCTGATCATCTGTTCTGTTCCATTACAGATGAAATGGTAGGAAATAGAAGTGAAAGTGTGGGGCTCATGTAGAAGACAAGCAGGACTCACAGAATTCCGGTTGATCACTGTTCTTTTTCCCAATGATTAATGGCTTGGTGGAAGATGGCTGATAATGAAGTTAAATGTGATAGACTCAGCCATATTACCTCAACATGTGTAAACTGTGTATAATGCCAAAACAAAAAATATTTTCCTCCGGGGCAGATAATGTGGTAAATTCGCCACAGACCTAATTCTCAGTCGTTGGACCCAGAATAAGAAATATAATCAAAGTAAAATAACGCTTATTATTTAATTAAATTAAATGCACTAAAAGAATAAAATATATTTTGCCTAAACCTATTTCTTGACGAAGTGTTTTATTTTCTAATCACCATCTCTAAGGGCGTTGTGATTATAGTAAAGTCGAGTTCCGTAGTCACGGCGAAAAAAAGGTCAGGTTGGTGTCCAAAAAGCTCGGACTGCTCAATATAGAGCGAAACTACACTGTAGACTTGAGACATGTCTCAAGTTCGCCCCATATGGAGTATGCTATCATTTTTGGGCAGGAGTACCTGAATACCCGCTCGGTACTACACGGAATTATGGATCATCCCGACCTCAGGTGATATCGAACCACTTACATTGAAGCGAGACTTCCCATTGTTTTGTGAGTTCTACCCAATATACAACGGATTGTGTTCTGAAGAAATGTTCGTCATGATACCTACGGCAACCTTTTATTATCGCATCGATGTCGATAGACCATTCATCCCTACACGGTGGAACCTAAGTGGTTTCGGTCAGTCCGGTTTTAGAGAAGCTTGCTCCCGTGTATATCGCACGGGAGGAAGCTTTTCTGAAACCGGAAGACAGGAAGGAAGGAAGATTATGGAAAGGCCTACCTGCCGAGGTTTTCTCGAGAGACTAGAGTATGGGGTTTTTTAAGAAGGGTATATTAAGGTATCTTAAGGGTTAGCAACGCGCACGTATGGTACGCGTACCCTGGTATTTCATTTTCAGGCGTCCATAGGCTACGCTAACCCTTTACCATCAAATGGACCTTATGTTTCATTACCAACATTGTAGTATAAATTAAGAAATAATCCATTTATAAAATAACGTCTACTATAGTTCTTTTAATACCTATATGGTTAACATGTTTAACGATATTTACATGTTTTTTTATGTAGTAAGTATGTATTTATCAATCTTAAAAAAGGTCTTGAATACGTCTGTATTTTTGTATTAGATATCTGTTAGGCAATCGATGACTAGCCTGGTTAGTTATGGCAGACGAGTATGTCTGTATATTTTTTAAAAGAGAGCGTGTGTCATCTTCTCTGTTATCATGTTGATGTAACTTATCTATATTGTTGTGTATCATCAAATATATTTATTAGTAGTATTTACATAACCTAATTGAATAAGAACCTAAAATTAAAAAGTTTAAAAAAATCTAATATTCTAAAATATATTTTGTCCAAGAAGATACTGGCAGCGTTCCCCTCTTTGTCAGCTCTTCGGTCTTCTGTGATGTCGACTAACCTTTTCGTTATTTCTTTGAAAAGTCTTATAACGCTAGGACTCCACGGACGAAGGGTCTCGACACCGAATGGGACAAATTCATATTCGGAGCCTAGAAAAAGCGGCTGAAAAAGCCAGTAAATACAGGGGGTATTTACATGTCTTGGCTTTTTCAGCCGCTTCACATGCCGCACCAGCTCTGTTGTTGGTTCCATGTAGATGGGATGGGGCCAGCGTGTCTGCATAGGTTGCATCCCATACCAGCACCCGGCCCATCTTCCATGGAATCAAACTCATACCGTCCGGTCTCTTACCATCGTCTCTTGCAATACCAGTCGGCTCAAGTAGACTTGGTACGTTGACGGTGGCAAGGGACCGGCGTATGATATCGTTAAGTGCGGCATGTCTCGAGAAACGGTCTGCACTTTTTTGGCATGACAGTCCGTGATGTCCTAGTTTGTCGACATCACTGCCACAGGGACATTTGTGAGGAGCGCAGACCGGAACCCCAAGCCGTAGACAGGTTGCTATTCGGAGCGTGTCAGGCTCAAGAAATGTTCCTGTATTTGACGAAGGGTACGCGTGAAGCCAGTAGCCGGCCTCATGCGCACCCAGGGCCAAAAGCCTAGCACGCATCGAACCTGTACTATAGCTCAATTTGGAGATATTGGAAAATTTTGACATGGGCATGCAATTAAGAAAGCGTTCCTAGCTTCTTCCAAGCCGGCAATCTCAAATTTGAAGGGCATGCCCTTAAAATTTTACTTATGAGAATTGCTGAACTATGGACAGAAGATAGGAAAGCTGGTAAAGCGACAGAGGAAATTTTGCGAATCCCTAAACCACCATAACGGATGGGTCCCTACCCATCCGTTATGGTGGATTCGCAAAATCTATCAAGCATCCCTATGCTTGGGTCCAAGATGGCTTGTTTAGCTGCATATTAAAATTTATTAATTTAATTAAAATTTTCATTAAATCGTCTAGTTGTGTCAAAAGATCTGGGTATTTCCAGAAGGAGCAGCAACGGAGCACATACGTAAATTTTGGGACGAAAAGACAGAATTTTAAGATGCAAAGTGCATAATGTGGACTGATTTCAAGTAGACAGTCAGCAGAATTTTGAAATTTAGCAATTGAATTATTAATATATTCAGAAATAGATTCATCAAAAATTGGAGATCCTAAAAGGAAAGGGAATTACTGTTAACTATTTTAATATTTGGATCCAAAGTATTAAATTTTTGTTTTACATCGTTTAAATTTATGTCGTAGTTATTTATAAAAAGGTCGCATTTGCTAAAATTGAGCTCCAAACCAATGGCTTCAAATTTATTTTTGATTTAAAAAAGGTCCGAAAACACAGTGTCCACATCACCTCCCAGAGATCCGTCGTCCAAATATCAAACGTTAAATTTAGAATTTTGATTTTTGATTATCGGATTTATAGCCAAACTAAAAATTGCAGGCCCAAGGGGATCACCCTGTTGACAACCTACTTCCGAGGACAGTTCATTAGAACGATATAACAATTTTGTTGGATCAGCGTAACTGAGAAGAAGATAATTGTGTATTATATTAAATATGTTTTGTTAATCAATATTTTCTATGTTATTTACTTGGACCACTATGTTAATGTGAGGCAAGTACAGAGGCAACTTCCTTCACAATATCGCAATATCTTTCTTAATTTGGAATGAATTTCGATAGTTTTATATCTACTCTTAGCTCCTCTATAATTTATATCCATTTAGGTCTTATACCAAATTTGTAACGATTTAACCTGGTTGGTTAGGTATTTGGTTCCCTTTTTAAATTAGTAAGCATGGGTGTAAAAACAATTTTGATTAATATTAGTAATTCAATAAATGCTATACTTTGTAGTAAATACTTTTTGATGCCATGTATGAACGAAGGTAAATGAATTAAATAAAAAAAATGCAAACATTGTGTTGTATTGGGTTTTTTAAGTGCGTTACTTAATAGACTTATATAACATTTGTTAGATTTATACAACTTCCTTGATGACATGTTGCCCGGTCATTCTAAGTGTATGTATACTATTCCATCTTCTTTAACAAATATTGTTTCTAATGCAGGTAGTTACTCCTATGGAACTACAATACTATTTATGTACGAATGTTGTTCTAATATCTTTATTGTAGAATTTGCTACCGTCATTGTTTCTCTTCATTACAAAGCTATTTTAGTATTTCTTTAAGGTTTAAAAAGTATACCCACCACACGACACCCGGTAACTTGATTAGTATTCGAGTATTCGACGTTAAAGAATATGTAAGTAGGTGATATCTGTATATTATTCATACAACATTTTGTGATATTTTGTTCAGGTGTTGTTTTAATTTTTCTAAAATTATTTTTTTTATTTTTCATACAGTAGAAAATTTATTCAAATAATAATAGGTAGATATAGGTAGATATAAAAAGTCAGTAGATCATATGCTGGTCTTCTGCATCTCCCTAGGGGGTGAAGACTATACAGAAGAGAGTCATGATAATAATGAAATAATAATGACTGGGATATACATTAAGGACGCCAACTTTAAAACACTTAGCTTTGTACCAAGAAATCTCTTATAAAATCTCGTATTTTAATTGTTAATTAATTAATTAATCTTAATTTGTCTCCTTAACCTCATACGTATTTTGACGAATTTTCGTACAAAATTATACAAAGGAGAGCCCAAAAAAACGCGTATTGTCATGGATGGTGCACCCATCTGCGTTAACGGTATATGTTGGTGGGGCATCAAAACAGGATGATAGGATGATGAAGTCATTTAGCCCATCGTGGCGAATTCACCAGGAATTCATTATGATGATTTTTGGGGAGAACATTGTTAGCAATGCAAGCAATACTTCTACCGGCGATTTGCAATCATAGGAGTTAAATTTAGAGACTACAATGCAAAAGAGGTTTCTGCTGTGGGTTTCAAATCTGCGATCATCCTGTCAGTTGCAGCAAACTGTGCTTAATAAGTAAATATACTGTCCTATATCCTAATTTGACTATGAAATCTGTAGGTTACCTTATCACTAATATTCTCATATGCCCATACATAGAGACTGTATATTATATAGTAAAATATGAATTCTATTTATCTAATGAATATTTTCTGCCGATACGGTTGAGTACCGCTTTTACTTTCCTTTTGTAGTAAACATATAGTTCCTGTTTATAATGAGTAAAAGAATGGCTAATCGTGACTGCACCTCTATCCTTAAGTACGATATTCACTTGCATGCGATCTAACTGTAATTCAAGAAAACTAACCTCCAACCATGCGCGCACGCCGATAAAGCACGAATTGATTGTTACTGAAATTTATACAGTCGACTAATATATTAAAACCGGTCGTCCGTGAGTGAAATGTGGGACTGAATGGTCCTCAATGCGCACGCAAACTCATCTGTAATTATGCTTTTCACACATACGTAGCTGAACATGAAGACCAACGCGTGGTGGAATCGGCAACAGATATGTGTCTCGCTTTTTGCCGTACATTTTATCGGAGAAATTCACTTGGAAAATGGTTCTCGATCATTTTCAAGTTCAGTTACGTAAGTACGCGTGTGGAGAATTAGTGCGGAATAGCGGATGTTTGGTGGTGCTCGACGGCGAAGTGGCACACAGTTATAAGCTCTCACCCGCTCCACTGCCCGTCAGTTGCCTCTAGACCACCCTTGTACACGTAGATTTTGTTTTTTTTTTTTGTGCAGTGTGTGTAATTTGTAATAACACAAACATGTGCAACTCATTTCGGATAGCCGTCGTGTCAGTTATCTATGTGGTTATCGCCTCCGGTCATGTACATGGACCCAGGAGATCCCGTGTAGCAAACATGGAGGATTATGCCCAGAATGAAGTAGACAGCGGAAGATCCGATGAGGGCTCTTGGTGGCCCACGGCCGAATTTAGCGTCTTACAAAAAGTTTATGACGATTGCAGTGAGAAGAAACAGTTCACAATGTGTCTTAAAGGCAAGGCTTTAACGGCTCTGACACGAGCAGTCGAGATGGTGAATAGTGTTTACATCTGTTTGTGAAGGTTATTTTTGTGTTACGATCAGTGAATGATAAAATTTTCTTGTGTTGTACAGGAGAGCGTGCAGCTCGCGGATGGGTTGACGTTAGTAAAGCAGGCTGACGCGCCCTCTGCGATATCGGAGCCTCGTTTCTTTTCTGGCATGTCTACAGAAGAAAAGATCGATACCATGTTGCGTTCTAAATTCGAGCAGTTGATGAATACTCACACTGTGTCTATGGATTTGGCTTCTGAAGGTAGAGGTAGAGGTACGTTCGTTATTAGGTTCTTTCTTATATAAATATACCTACGTTATTAGTTTGAACTAGAAACAATAATCTTTATTTCCTAATTTCTACGCAGGTAAGAAGGTGATGCCTTATTTATTGCTTGGAATCTTCACGACTCTGAGCATAGTGGGAGGTATGGCTCTGAAGACTTTGGCTGCAATTGCTGGCAAAGCCCTTATCGCCAGTAAGGTGGCTTTGACGATTGCTGGAATAATCGCTCTCAAAAAGCTATTTAGTCACGACGGCAGCCAAGGTGAAACAACATTCCAAGTACACGCAGATGGACACCATAGGTCAGTATGATATAATAAAATCAAGGTTTTAATAATAAAGTAATATTTTATCTTTTCTGACATATTTTCAAAAAAGTCAGGCCTATATTAAACCTTTTGGTCGTTGAGTTGAAATATTTTAGATATGTTATTTTTAATTCCAAATATTTTAATTCTAGTCTTTAATTCGAAGGCGGAATCTTTATGTGGTGAGGCAAGCGAAGCCCGGCGCAATGGATCCTTACCGGTATTATTCGGAGCAGACGACCGCGAGCGCGTAACCTACGCGACTCTAGTCGCCTAGACACGGCGCGGACTCCTCCTGCAATCATCAGAATCTGGTGATAACATTGGATGACTCCGCCGCGCCGGCACCTTACACAAAAATAACCTCAAACCAAAGTACTGTTCATATTGTGAACATCTCTCTTAGACGAATCGGTCGTCCGTTCTCAACTTAAAATCTATGTCAATAAATTATTTAATGTAAATTATTTATTTATGACTGCGGTTGTACTATGTATTATATAATTTATTAAGTGATGTAAGATGTAATAAAAACAAGTTACACATAATATTGTTTAATTCCCAGATATTTCAGTTTCTTTAGTGATAACGGAAATCTACCTAGTCGTTAAGGTAATTTAGATACACGAAAAATAATAATAAAGTTATAAAATATATATTGACACTACTTATAATCGTAACTACCAATTTATTTTAGTCCATATCTAAAGTTTCAATGAAATCAGAATAGCAAATCAATAATATTATAATGACATAACAAAGTTATAACAAATTCAGCTAAAATCATATAAAGTACGCATATTTTTCTGAATATTCAGTCATTCTTATTCATAATTAATATCCATAAATCAATTACAATATAACTATTCTTAACGATAAACTATCGATTGTGTATTATAATATTAGTTATCATGTATCACAGATTCTAATAGATAGTGTTTCAATTAATTACAATACTAACCCGCTTTCTTTATACGCTCTGTTGGAGAGGACCGTAAAATGTGTTGAGATTTTCCGTTAATGTAGGTGCAACGGGTTCGAACGTGGAAAGTAGAAAGTTTCGATCAATTCACTGCACATACACGCATGCCATTAGAACACGTATGCATTTGTTAATATGCAGACTTTTTTTTGTTTCTAATGAATATATGATATCTCGATGTAAGTACTGTCTATATCTAATTACATCCCTACTGTCGATCTACGATTATACAACATTTTTAATATAACCGGGACTTCATAACGGTTGCATCGTATTGAGTTAGCTTCCATTTCCTACGGCAGGGGAGGCGTAGTGGTGGAGCGTTTGTTAGGCTGAGGAAGGTCAGCTCGTTGATTAGCCGTCGGCCATAGTAAAGGCCAACCACAGTGCGCGTTTGTGAGCCCGGATGCTGTTTATAATGCAGATATGTGTTTGCCCAATCGCTGCACGCTACGCTTGCTATATGGCATCGTTAATGCGGCTACTGTCTCTTTGCATACGCAAATATAGGGCGGGCGGCCCGGCGCTGATTAAGCGGTGCGCCGGCGGTCACGTTGGGCACATTTCTGTTCCAGGAATACTGACACTTGATTAGTCTTCCTACTTTCACGTTCATATTGTATGCAGTCTTTTAGTTTTCAATTTTAAACATTTAATTTATGTATCCTATGGGTACCTACAGTAAGTACCTACTTAATTAATTATATGCAATGTCACTAATACCTTATAGATTTAAATAGTATCACCTACGTCTAATAACTGTCTTGAAAAAAAAACTTAGGAATTATGAAAACTTAGAAACTTTTCGTCAAGTCGCTACAAAGAAAGCAATAGATATTACTGAAAAAAATCTGTCTTTAAAAATAATAGAGATACAATAAAATAGGTAGATAGTGGAATAATAATAAAGCGTGGAGATAAAAAATATTGAACAGTATCAGTAAAATAAAAAAAATAGTTTAGACGGAAAATATTTTTTTAGCTAATTTTTAGTCTCAAGATTAGCATGGTTAGATATGTATTAATTGTTGTAGAATTAAAAAGTAAGAAAAAATTTTAAAACTTAAAAGTAAATTGTAATTGAAGTACTCTCTGGTATATTGAATATGTTGAAAAAGAAATTAAAATATTTACATAAATATTAATCTTTATAACAACTTAGATGTAGTTTAACTGAGATGTAGTCCAACTAAGGTAGGAAGAAAAGGTAGTATTAGGGGAGAATCAGGTCACTTTGGCACGCAATGTGCAATGAAAATGAGGCCTATGTTTTAATTTTAGGCGAACAGGTAAATGAAATATCACTTGACACTTTTTTTAATTTACCTCGTATAATAAAGATTAATTAATTTGACTTGGTATATTGTACCGTAAATTTGTAATTATGAAATATGATAATGTTAGAATGTTCATAGCAATGATGCAATTATTTTGCGGCTTTACCATGACAGACCGACACACTTTTGCATTTTTAGTATTAGTATGGATTTCCACTGTGGTTTTTCGATGCACCCTTATCAGTGGTAGTATAGGAACGAGCTAAGAAGAAAAAAACAACATTTACTGATATTTTATTGGAACACTAGGTAAATATGTATGTAGGAAGTATAGAAAGTAATCCAACTATACGGTAGTAAATATATACACACAACAACGAGTGTATGTCTGTCATGAATATTGTAGATGAATGTTGAGAGAGTTCCCACGAGGCAAAGGGACTGTCTAGTGCATTAGCTAATAATATTAGTTATTAACCAATATAGGTGACCGCAGCCCATCTCAAATCTTCAATAGTTGATGGCCGTCTACGTCTCTAATTAGTGGTGCTGTCATGACAGATGTTTGCTCTAATTACTAATTAATTAGGGGTATTGACTATATATATATGTATAAATTAATTGCTATGATATATCGAGGGGATTCCTTTGACTTAATTAATCTTATTAAGTCGAAGGAATTATACATATGACTATAGTGTGTTTATATATTTTTTAAGCATTTTTGTAATTTAGAGGTACGAAATGAAAATAAAGTAGGTTGAATTCGAATAAAAATAATTGAAATTAAATACAGAATTTTCATAACTATATCTTTTTTAGTACTTATATTATTAAAATTTATTTATATTATATTATAGAATGGTGCAAGTGTTTAAGTATATGAATAGTAATGTATAAGAACAACAGTATGATATATAGAATAAAAGTGTTATAATATTATATGCTTCTAAAAATACATTTTTCTCGATTTGTTTATAATTTATAATGTAATTTTACTAGAGAATCTTTTTGAAAAGCAAAGACGAGAGTTGGATATGAGTCGGCCGTCACGGCAGTCCTACCTACAGCGAAGTTACTTTACGGGCGAATGGTCAAAGTATCCGACATAAACCTATTTTGTTCTGTTCTTATATTGGATGTGGGTGCTTCCGCTCCCTTCTTCGCCCGCGCGCTGCCGTCCACTGTCCCTCTAACAGGGTTGTTCATGCCTGTATAAACAGAATATATATATATATATTTATTTATACAAATAAATATAATAATATATTTTTTCGAATTTTTAAGTATGATTCTTTATGTACCTATATAAAGATTATAAATATTGATTTTATAACGGAATACTAATAATAAAAATGCTAAGGATCTACTCTTGCGAAGACCAACTCTTGTCTAGTAGCAGGTCTATATGTGACGGTGGTAGATGTAGGTAAATATAAATGTATTGAGTATATTGGTTTATTGTGTACAGCCCTAGCACTGGGTGGGGTGCTGTGAGGAAGTTTTGCCGGGAATTATGTTGGTACGTGCCAAAGCCATTATTGCTGCGAGAAAAGTTCATCAATTTCATTTGTATCTTCGAACATGCTGTCGGGCCGCAAGCAAAAGCTCCCGTTCTAGAGGATTTAATTTATTTTTTATTGTATAGGTATATAATATGTACACGCTATTAATACATATACTGGTCGGATCTATTCAACTGAATAGAAACTACGTTTCAATTTAGTGGTAGATTTAACTAATTGCTGGTGTTTGTAATGACTTACGGGTGTACATAAAGATATGCTGAACGTATTTAAAATCATAATCTTAATCCTATGTTAAATACAGAGTATAGAACAAATTCACCGCCTGTATCTGTACACTTAGATCTTTTAAACTACGGAACGAATTGAGGAGGAGAAAAGTTTATACGTATAATACGTGTCATATCATAATACAGAAAAGTCGAGAAATTCAAAGATTTGTATTGCACCTGTACGAAGCTGGGGCGGATAACTAGTAAAAATATATTATATATATTATACCTATAGTTGATGTACTCGTAGATATTTAGACATAAAGAACCACCCGATTCGTGTCCACTATACGTACTATTAGGTAGATGTTATTTTTGTGTACTTTAATATAGACTATAGATTAAAGTGTAATGAAGTGAAAGTATAATTTGAAATGTACGCGCTTGTTTGTAATGGAATTAAGAATCTGAAATGAATTTAAAACAGTATATTTATGTAGCTACTCGCCATTTCGATTTCTAATTGTTGCTATTGCTTCTTGATTTTGTTGAAAGTAGTTACAGGTACGAGGGAAATAACGTGCATTTAAACGTTAATAAGTAATTTACTCGTTGGCTCGTACTACACTTCTTTATTACTCTCACTTTAATAATTACGATTGCATTTATGCCAATATTTATAGTTGTTTTCTTTAATGTTTACGATTCATCAAATAAAAAAAAGTACAATGTATATTGTTAATTATTGTAAAATAAATTAATAAAACAGTACATATTTTATTTAAAAAAGATAATATCATCATGTATGTTTAAGAAGGTACGAGAACTTAAATAAAAATTATTTTAGGTATGTGGGTATAATATCAAATTTATAAAAAATAATTTTAAATTTCTTAATCCTTAATTATTGATAATGATCAAGCTTTTCACCGTGATAATCTTTGCAGAAAGCCTACTGTGTGGGTAGTAGCACTCTCATCTATGTGAGCTGTTTACCAGTCTTCTTTAAGAAAATATTTATATAGAATTTTGCAATTACTATGTCAATCTGCCACGGTAGCGGTGGTATACGACTCTCTGCAGTCAGTAGTCTTCCTTCACGAAGGTGGACAGCATATTGGTGGGAACCCAGGTCAGAAATGCTTTGAAGTTCGCGTTTTCGCCTGTTCGCGACTCTATTCCAGCTGCGACACCGTCAATGTCAGGTTACTTTTGGTCCAGATATAGTCGACGATGTCCTCTTTCTTTGTGGCGTAGTGTAAGCGAGATGGGTACGTGGCCGGTGTTGGAGCACGCAACAAGAAGTTGGGCTCAGTCGGTGCAGGGCCACAATGGTTTCGATTGACCATCTTTAAGCGCCTTTTCTTTTGTACCATGACAAAACCATGAGGTCAGCAGACGTTGAATACATAAAGACCATTTTCAGAGCCACTTTAGGCTTATGCTGCTGTGCAGTTATGTGGCCCGTCAGCCTATTTGCTATTCCAATTACAAAAAAAGCCACAGGTACATA